ACCTAAAGATAACCAGTGATGTTACTATCGTGCTCTTTCTTTTTTCTAGACCTATTTTTATACATAGTTAAGATCATGCAGTACAAATAGTTTTTTTAATCTACGCTTGTTTGTTCAATATGATAGTGTAAGTATTTTCCCATGTTCTTAAAAGCCTGTTGTTACCAGCATTTTTAATGACTGTAGATTTTTTTTTTTTTTGGTCATTTGTAAGTGGCATATAATTTATCTGTTTCTCCGTTATTAATTTACCTTCTTTCTGATTTTTGTTCTTGAAAATAATGCAAGGCTGAACAAGGACCGTCTTTGTGCCTAAAGCTTTTATCTTCACTTTGAGCTGCTTCCTGAGCCTAGTTCAGCGGTTCTCAAACCTGAGTGCATCAGCATCACCTGGAAGGCACGTTAAACACAGATCACTGGGCCTCAACCCAAGGATTTCTGACTGAGTAGGACTGAGGAAACCTGAAAACTGGCCTTTTTTTTTTTTACATCATTTTTTAAATTATTGTTTTTTAAAGATTTTATTTATTTATTTGACAGAGAGAGATTACAAGTAGGCAGAGAATCAGGCAAAGAGAGAGAGGGAGAAGCAGGCTCCCCGCTGAACAGAGAGCCCGATGCGGGGCTTGATCCCAGGACTCTGAGATCATGATCTGAGCTGAAGGCAGAGGCTTAACCCACTGAGCCACCCAGGCGCCCCAAAACTGGCTTTTCTAACAAGTTCCCAGGTGATGTTGCTGTGTGGGGACCACACTTCAAGAACAACTGGCCTGTGTTACTGACAAGGACACTACAGTATTGAGGTTAAGTTTCTCAGGCAGTAGGAGTGATTATGATCTTGAATGAAACTGAATTCATGTACCAACCTGTATCAGGGAAGTTGAAGAGCTGTAAAGGGTTGTATCAGCATCTCAGCATTGGAGATTTGTGCAGTTTGTACACACGGCAGTGCTGTTTTTTGCAAGGTGCTGTGCTGGGTTTTGTGAGCAACCCAGCTCCCTTTTGGCTGTTTTACAGTCTGTGAAATAAGACAAATAAAACAGAAAGCCAGAAAAAAGGTATTAACAAAGGGCTACAGAATTCAGAGGGAGATGAGATCATGTTTGGTTAGCACATCAAAAAGTAGGAGGCCAAGAAGTAGAAAGTCCAAGAAGAGCTAGGATTTTTTTTTTTTTTTAAGATTTTATTTATTGGGGTGCCTGGGTGGCTCAGTGGGTTAAGCCTCTGCCTTCAGCTCAGGTCATGATCCCAGGGTCCTGGGATTGAGCCCCACATCGGGCTCTCTGCTCTGTAGGGAGCCTGCTTCCTCCCTCTCTCTCTCTCCCTGCCTCTCTGCCTACTTGTGATCTCTGTCTGTCAAATAAAAAAAAAAAAAGATTTTATTTATTTGACAGAGAGAGAAAGTGCGAGAGAGCAAGAGCGCAAGCAGGGGGAACGGCAGGGAGAGGGAGAAGCAGGCTCCCCGCTGAGTGAGGAGCCTGATTTGGGGCTTGATCCCAGGACCTTGGGATCATGACCTGAGCCAAAGGTAGACACTTAACTGACTTGGCCACCCAGCTGCTCCTAGAATATATATATATTTCTTTAACTTTTAAAAAAATTTATTTGAAGAAGGCTCCACGCCCAATGTGGGACTTGAACTCAAGACCCTGAGATCAAGAGTCACATGGTATACCGACTGAGTCTTCCAGGCACCCCAGAGCTAGGATATTTTTAAGGAATTTCGCAAGTATGATGTCAGTGAAGCTTGGGGTTTTCAGCCAGAGAAGCCCAAGTTCAAATCTTGGTTCTGTGCTAAATTAGCTTTGTGATATATTTCTCCTTGAACTTGTTTCTTCATTTGTAAAAAGGGGATACTACACCAGGTATGTTGGTGTAGATTACGTGACAAAACACACACACAAAAATTGTTGAATAGGGGCACCTGGCTGGCTCAGTCGTTAGAGCATGTGAATCTTGCTCTTGGGTCCATGAGTTTAAGCCCCACATTGGGCATGGAGCCTACATTAAAAAAAAAAAAAAAAAAAAGTTGAATAAATGGTAAGTTTCTTGAAGGTTTTTCATTGGTGCTGCTAAGCATTGTAATTAACAAGGCCAAATCACCAAGGCCCATCTATTGGCATAAAAGTGATTGATGCCTTTTGAAACAGCTTTTCTATGGATTTTTTTTTTTTTTTAAGATTTTTTTTACAGAGATTACAAGTGGGCAGAGAGGCAGGCAGAGAAAGAGGAGGAAGCGGGCTCCCAGGACCCTGAGATCATGACCTGAGCCAAAAGCAGAGGTTTTAACCCACTGAGCCACCCAGGCACCCCAGGATTGTATTTTAAAGGAAATTTTATTGATGAAAAATGAGCGGTAGCCAGGAAGTGTGAACTTGCTGTCATTTTATTTAATATTATCTTGAGTTAAAGACTTGGATGGCCTTTTTTTTTTTTTTTTAAGATTTTATGCATTTATTTTAGAGCGAGCACGAGCACACTGGGGGAGAGGGAAAGGGAGAGAAATAGACTCACCACTGAAAAAAGAGCCCCGCACAGTTCGATCTCATGAGCCTGAGATCATGACCTGAGCCAAAATCAAGAGTCAGTCACTTATCCGACTGAGCCACTCTGGTGCCCTGACTTGGATGGACTTTGATGAAATTTACTTTTATCATATAACCGCATGCTTACCTATTGTTTTCCTCAGGTTTGCCCAAATATTGTGTAACAGCGAAGCATCTTTCTGTTGACCACTCTGGCCCTGCCTAGTCCCTGTCTTTGCTATTCTGCTTCAGTGTCCATGGCACCGACCTATATTGTGTATCGTCTGTCTGCTACTGACACGAGTGCTGTAGGAAGCAAGGACTTTGCCGTACTTAATGCTGTATCCGTACTGAGACCAGAGTCTGGCATGTAACAGTGAATTAATGATTGGGTGAATGAACCAATTGAGGATCATATTTAGGAGAAGAGGGAAGAGAAGAGTATTGGGTCAGTTCTTTTAAAAGTGGTTTTATGGGCATATTTAACCTCAATGACAATATACTTGTATTTTAAGCTCCTGGTGTTATATATATATATATATATATTTTTTTTTTTTTTTAAGATTTTATTTATTTGACAGAGATCACAAGTAGGCAGAGAGGCAGGCAGAGAGAGAGGAGGAAGCAGGCCCCCCGCTGAGCAGAGACCCCCGATGTGGGGCTTGATCCCAGGACCCTGGGATCATGACCCGAGCTGAAGGCAGACGCTTTAACCCACTGAGCCACCCAGGCACCCCATGGTGTTATATTTTTAAGTCCATTCTAAGTCTGGTGGAATGATTTTGAATACCATTCCCTCTCATGATATTTGTTGAGAGAAACGGAAAGCATCAGCTCACATATTTTTAGACAGTTTGTACAGAGACTCCAGTCACCAAAATTGTCTTCCAAAACCCTCCTGGTGTTGGAAGAGGTAGCAGAGTTGCTGATGAAAAGTGACTTACATTGGTATCATATACTTTATGGTGTTTACTTTTGCTCTGTACCAAATAAAAACATGTTGTTTTATCTTTGGGGCAGCGCACCTTTGCTTTTCTTGGGTTCCGAGTCAGCCGGGTAAAATAATTAATGTTGGTTTTTATTCAGGGATTAGTTTGGTCATATCACTTCTACTTTCTGATGTCCAGTGGATTGTTCGTTTTGCTGTGTCTGTTGAAGGCAGCAATGATTGGGATATTACCACTTTTTTGCTCTTTAATTTGGAAAATGTAATTTTTCTGTAAAGATTTTACCTTTGGTTTACTGAGGTCATTAATACATTTGTTGCTGTTGCATACTACACATTAACTGATAAGGAATTGATACAGCCCCAAGTTAGCAGTGGTCAGGTCAAGTTGGTCACCTTCATCTTAGAAATTCTAAGCAGGCAAGCCAGAAATGCCTTTAATTTAGAATTTAGCTGATTGTGTAATATGATGTAATGTGATACTCAGAGATATCAAAATTATTACATCTAGTATGGATATGAACTCATGATTCCCTAATTGTCACAAGTATCTTTCCTCATTGATTTGTTTGATCTAGGATCTAGGTTCACACATTGTGTCCTTGTCTATAGTAGTCCCTGCTTACCTGTGGGGGATATGTCCCAAGACCCCCAGTGGATGCCTGAAACTGTGGATAGTACTGAACCCTAGGATAGAATGTTTTTCCTTTACATACAAACCTATGGTAAAGTTTCATTTATAAATTAGGCATAGTAAGAGATTAACAACAGTAATAATAAAATAGAACAATTATAACAATAGACCATAATAAAAGTTACATGAATGTGGTCTCTCCCGAAGTCCTATTTTTTTTTTTTTTAAAGTGAGCTCTCTGCCCAGCGTGGGGCTTGAACTCACAACTCCAAGATCAAGAGTTGCATGATGTATCATCTGAGCCAGCCAGGCAGGCGCCCCTCCTAAGATCTTACTATACTTACCCGTCTTGTGATGATGTGAGATGATAAACTGCATAAATGTTGAGACGAAGTGAGGTGAGTGATGCAGGCATTTTGACCTAGTGTTAGGCTCACATACTGATAGACCACACTGATGGACTCACTTCTGATAGACCACAGCTGACTTCCAGGAACTGAAACCTCTCAACTGGAAACCGCAGATAAGGGAGGACCATTGTATTATGTCTTTGCTTGTCCCTTCTTTCCCGTACCATTTATTTCCTGAAGAAACTGGGTCGTTTAAAATTTTGTAGGGATTCTGACATTCTGGATGCAGCTGATTGTTTTCTAAGGTTGTTAGTTAATTTGGCAATCTAATCCCTTTGTGTCTTAAAAACTGGAAGTTACGTCTTGATTAAATTCAGCTTAATTTGTATTTTTTTGCTTTTTATTTTGGCAAGAATGCTTCATAGGTTGTCCTTAGCGCTTCAAAATGCATTATGTCAGAAAGAGTTTCTTGTCAGACTTTATCATTTTAGTGATATTACAATTAGTAAGCTTAGGTGTTAATAACCTTTTTACCTTTGTTTCAGAAAAGCTTGATTCTTTACTCTCAGACTACGATATCCTCTCTTTATCCAATATCCAACAGCATTCAGTAAGAAAAAGGGATCTACAGGCCTCAACACATTTAGAAACACTACTGACTTTTTCAGCCTTGAAAAGGTAATTTGGATTATTTATAGAAAACTATTGGGGCAATGGGGGGCTTAGTTTGGCAAAAGTAGAAGAATAAGGGTGTTTACTGGAGTCTTGGGAAGTTACATTTTAAAAATTTGTAATATAATTATAGTCAGTAATAATTCTTATATTGCTTATTGCTTATTCCAAAATTCATAGTGATGATTATTAAAAACAAACAAATGGGTATTCCAAAGGTATTAATGATGGGGTAATGATGTTTATGGGATTCTAAAAAAGGATTTTAATTAATTGAATGATTTATAATACCCTAAAATATTTTTTTCTACTTTAGAACCATCAGCTGTGTACCAAATAATATCTTTATTTTATATATGAAGACACTGAGGTTTAGAAATCAAAGATTTGTTCAGGACCTCACAGCCTTGTGGTAATAAATTAATATAGTGCCATAAATCGATATGGTCTCTCTGGGCAGTAATTTTGCTTTCTCTTAGTTTTGCAGATGTAAATCTGTTAGATAATTGCAGGTCTTGTTCTAAAGTCTTTTTAGGGAGCTTTACTAATATCAAAACACACACTGAGAGAATGTAAATGGACTGAATCACTCTGTATTTGAACAACAAATGATGAAGGCCTGTTTTTACTTTAAAAAAAAAATTTTTTTTTTTAAGATTTTGTTTATTTATTTGAGAGAGAGAATGAGCAGGGGGAGGGGCAGAGGGAGAAGCAGACTCTGTGCTGAGCAGGGAGCCCGATGTGGGGCTCAGTCCCAGGACCCTGGAATCATGACCTGAGCTGAAAGCAGTTGCTTAACTGACTGAGCCACCTAGGCTCCCCACAGCAAATATTTAAAAAAAAGAAAGTAATACATGCACTTGGTTTAAAAAGCGAACTATGGAGGGTATAAGAAATTTTCAGGTCCTCCTCAAACTTCACAAATGCAGAAGTTTCCCAAATAAATTTCTAAAAGATTTTAATGCATATTTTTTGCATATAGATCTGTGTACGTGTAGATAATACAGGTAAGTAGATTTACCTCCTTTTTAACAGCTGCATAAATATTTCTATTTCGTAGAATTGTAATGGTTTGTTCTCTAATAACCCATAGATACATATTGTTTAACTGAAGTGATTTTTGTTTTCTATAGCAAACAGTGCTCTGATAACTATCGTTGTGACTATACCTTGTTTAGGTATTTTTATAGGATACATTCCTGAAAGGAGAATGAGTCAAGGGTATACATACTGTAAAAGTTTACTGATGTTACCATATTTCTTCCTAAAGACATTAGCCCAGTTTGTTGTTCTAGCAGCAGTGTATGAGCTTACCTGTAGCCTGTTATCCTTGGCAATACTAGTTTTTATCAGCCCTTAATTTTTGTCCCAGTGAAAGGGGATAGAGTCTCATAGTTGTCTTGATTTTCATTTTGTGTGAATTGAGCATCTTTTCATGTGTTTGTAAGTCATTTATTTTTCTGTGTCTACCTTTTTTGTATCCTTTTATCATTCTTCTGATTGGTTTATTCTGTCATGCTTAGTATATTTATCATATGTGTAACTGATATTTCATGCAAATATATTTTATAATATCTTTTTTGGCTTTTTAAAGTTATTGCCATTATCCTTAGATTATTTCTGAGTAATTTCTTTCTATCAGAGTTCATGTCAAATTGTTGTGTTGATTATCCAGCTTCCAGACCTATAGCAAATTTGAGCAGTGATGATATTAATCATAGTCCTAGTTTATCAGCTACTTTGTGTAATTCACTTTGTGTGTGCTATCTCTAATTCTCACTGTGCTCCACAAAGAAGTTTTCGTTCCTCTGCTTTTGGGGGAAAAAAAATTGAGACTCAGAGAACTTGGGTAACTTGCTCAAGGTCACTCAGCTAGTAAGTGGAAGATAAAGGATTTGAATTAAAGTCTGTGCTATTTTAGCTGTGCTGATAGGGATTTTGGTGAAGGAGCAGGTATAGTAGTAAGAGGTAAATAGGAGCAAAGGATAAGGGGAAAACTGCAAAACAAGAACTCAAAATTTAGCTTTCTAAGTTTCTTTTTTAAATTTAGGTTGTAAAGTTTTTTCTGTGGGGGAAATATTCCCATAACCTCACACATTCCTCTCTTCCGGGTCTCATAGATGACACTGATTTTTTTTTTTTTTTCAATTTTATTTATTTGACAGGGAACACAAGCAGGGGGGAGTGGGAGAAGCGGGAGCCCAATTCAGGGCTTGATCCCAGGATTCTGGGATCATGATCTGAGCTGAAGGTAGACGCTTAATGCCTGAGCCACCCAGGTGCACCAGATGACATTGATTGTTTAAGAGAATGTTCAACAATATCTGTATTATCTCTCTGTGTAAGGAGGCAGGGAGGTTTGTAATTTATCTTACAGAGTTTCCACCTTTAGTTTTTTTTTAGTTTCCACCTTTAGTTTTTTTTTTTTTTTAAAGGTTTATTTATTTATTTATTTGACAGAGAGAGGCATTGTAAGAGTGGGAACATAAGCAGGGGGAGCGGGAGTGGGAGAGGGAGAGGCAGGCTGTCTACCAAGGAGGGAGCCCAATGCGGGGCTCGATTCCAGGAGTCTGGGATCATGACCTGAGCCAAAGCTAGGTGCTTAACCACTGAGCCACCCAGGCACCTCCTCTGAAGTGTTTAAATGGAGATGTATCTAACCGTGTAGGAAAACTTTGGACCAGGTACTTTAAAATAGTTTATTTCATTTAACCCCCAAAAACTATTCAATTAGTAGGCGGTATTATGGTATTATTTTCATTTGTAGATGAAGATACTTAGGTTCAGAGGTAAAGGCCAAGATCAAGCACTAAGTGGTGGAGACAGGATTTGAGCTAGGTTTGTCAGACTCCAAAGCCCTTTCTGTTACACTGTGTTGTTAAAAGAAGACAAAGCGGGATATTTGAAATGATCAGTTTATATAGGGCCGAACTTACCAATGTGAAGCTGCTCATTACTAGATGGTAATTGTAAATGATCAGATTTTTTGGTTTCTGAAACTGAATAATGCATTTAGAATAGGCTTGCTTTTTTTTTTTTTTTTTTTTTTTTTAAAACAAAGTCATCAGTGTTACGGAAAAAATCGTAGCTGTGAATGTGTGGGAAGATATGTTTTAGGAGAACAGGAGAAGATAGTCTAAGGATTTTTGAAATAATGTTCTATTGTCTCTCTTTCCCTCTGACCATTAAAAAACCACAAGCGAACTAAAATTACCTTGTTTTGCTCAAAAAGTTAAAAATACTTGTTGCTATGGAGACAGTCCCAGTCTAGATTCTTCTGGCAGTGTAGACTTAGGCAAACCCACGGGAAGTAACATTTCATAGTTTCAGCCCCACAGTTCACAAAATTTGTTCCTGTGGTTGAGATGAAAAACATACCTTTATCTTCCGTATTCATGGGCGCATTGAAAGGGTAAATAATAATTGAAAAATTCTTGCTCACCACACCCAGATTTTATGTCAGAACTGAAACTGGTAGAAAACAAAAGAATATTAAGCTGACTAAATAACTAAGTATGTATTTTAATGTCTGTGTTGGATATCTTATATTTATTTTCCTCGTAGGAATTGCGGATTAATTTTTTTCAAGAGAAGTTCTCTTTAGAAGGAGAAAAAAAGCATGAGTGATTTTACATATAGAAAGTAGCAGTGATTAATTTCGCAGAGCAATAAAACCGGCTTGATTGCTAGAGGCAGCACAGTATAGGCTTTTGAAATACAGCACTTTGGTTTCCAGGTTCATCATTTACTAGCTGTGTAACCTTGAGTATGTTGATTGACCTTCAACTGGCGATATTTACTGTGTGAAGTGGAGACAGTGTAAGCAGAGCATGTAGCGCTGAGTAGGTATTCAGTAAGTTATACCTAATACCAGGCATTGGTAAATTTTTTAGCCAAGCAGGATTTGAACTTAAACTGTCCATGTGTGTTTCCTTATTCTTCACAGTTTCCAGGAAATATGAACCCATAAGCTGTTTGAGTCTTTTTCCCTCTAATTCTAGTCTTCTGTTTTGCTGAATTCTTAACAGCCTAAAGAAATTTGTCAAAAAAAAATTTTGTCTATTTGTCTTTGTAGGTGACATAATGCTAAGTACCTAGTAAAACAGTTATAACTTGCATAGTGTTTTATTAATGTCAGCTCTCAAGTTATTTTTAAGTAAGCTTAATTTTATGTGCTTAGAGTAAAATTTTATGTGAAAATTTTATGTGCAGTAAAATTTTATGTGCAAATTTCATGTGCTTACAGTAAAATGTGGATGCATGTTTTTCTTTAGGCATTTTAAATTATACCTGACATCAAGTACTGAACACTTTTCCCAAAATTTCAAAGTCGTGGTGGTAGATGGCAAAGATGAAAGTGAGTACACCGTCAAATGGCAGGACTTCTTCAGGGGACACGTAGTTGGTTAGTATGAAGCTTGTTTGTTTGCCCTTGTGTCTGGGGGTATTAGGTGTCCAGATCTAGTTTGATTTCATATTCTTTTTTGGTGGGAGGAAGAAGGGGTGTCAAAGGACTGCTCTTTGTTGTATCTAAGTTATGTAAGTTTGAAAGGAGGAACGTTCAAACAGGAGGAAATGAGGATTATCTTAGCACGGATACTGATTATCTATTTTAATGATTACAGCGAATTTCCTCCCTTTTTTTTTTTTTTTTTTTAAGATTTTGTTTATTTATTTGTGAGAGAGATCACAAGTAGGCAGAGAGGCAGGCGGGCGGGCGGTTGGCCTGGGGGAAGCAGGCTCCCTGCTGAGCAGAGGGCCTGGTGCAGGGCTTGAACCCAGGACCCTAAAATCATGACCTGAGCCGAAGGCAGAGGCTTAACTCACTGAGCCACCCAGGTGCAGTATTTCCTCCCATTTGATAAGAATTTAACCTCTTGTCTCAGGGAAGGATCGTAGGCTTCCCTTATGAGATTTTAAACAGGGAAGCTAGGAGGTAAAATAATTGACTTTATGAATCTGTTAAGTACTTATCTAAGATGGTGTATCAAATGAACAATTGTGGCTTACTTCTGGAACTTCCTCTGCAGAAAAAGAAATGGCATTAAAATCTGTAAATAGGGCGCCTGGGTGGCTCAGTTGTTAAGCATCTGCTTCGGCTCAGGTCATGATCGCAGGGTCCTGGGATTGAGGCCCACATTGGGCTTCATGCTTGGCGGGAAGCCTCCTTCTCCCTCTCCCACGCCCCCTGCTTGTATTCCCGTTCTCTCTGTCAAATAAATAAATAAAATCTTTAAAAAAAATCTGCAAATAGAGCAAGCCCTGTGTATTCCAGATCATGCTTTCTGCCCTCCTCTTAGTTTATTTGTGTTCTCTCTTTCTCTCTTTTTTTTTTTTTTTTTTTTGAGGAGGGGGTGGAGGGGGCAGAGGCAGAAGGATAGAGAGAATCCTAAGCAGGCTCCACACCAAGCGCAGGGCCTGTGGGGGCTTGATCTCACAACCCTTAGATCATGACCGAGCTAAAATCAAGAATTGGATGCTTAATCAACTGAGCCACCCAGGCACCCTTCTCTTAGTTCTTTGTTAACCAGTAATAAGTGATGTTACTTCGGAAGAACATCTACACGTTTGTTTTTGGTTTTGTTCTATAACACACTAGGAAATTTTTACAAGAAGATTGAGGGAAAGAGAAAGGTTTCAGATGAGTTGAGGCTACTCTTTGGAAATATGACTATCTGGCTGCTTACTGGGGCCTCTGTTCCTTGTGGCAGATTTCTACAGTACCTAGGCACATCCCACTCTGATGAAGGACTCTGTTGCTTTTTATTGACACTAATGCATAGTTTATTTTTTGATATAAGTATTTCTTAATGATGGATTTTTCTTTTTCTCTTAAGGTGAGCCTGACTCTAGAGTTCTAGCCCACATAGGAGATGATGATATTACAATAAGAATCAACACAGATGGGGCAGAATATAATATAGAGGTAAATCTATATGTACATTTTTGGGGGGCGGAGGGAGCTGTTAAAAAAGCCATTTCCCAGTTGTTTTAAGAAGACAAAGGTCTTTAATTATACTTACTTCTTTTTTCCTTGTGTTTGAAGTTTTTACCAGTGAATTAGATGATTTTTTTAAATAATTAAAAAAATTTTCTTATAAACATATAATGTATTATTAGCCCCAGGGGTACAGGTCTGTGAATCGCCAGGTTTACACACTTCACAGCACTCACCATAGCACATACCATCCCCAATGTCCATAACCCCACTCCCCTCTCCCTACCACCGCCCCCCGGCAACCCTCAGTTTGTTTTGTGAGATTAAGAGTCTCTTATGGTTTGTCACCCTCCCGATCCCATCTTGTTTCATTTATTCTTCTCCTACCCCCCAAACCCCCTACATTGCATCTCCACTTCCTTATATCAGGAAGATCATATGATAGTTGTCTTTCTCTAGCTGACTTATTTTGCTCAGCATAATACCCTCTAGTTCCATCCACGTCATCGCAAATGGCAAGATTTCATTTCTTTTGATGGCTGCATAGTATTCCATTGTGTATATATATACCACATCTTCTTTATCCATTCATCTGTTGATGGACATCTAGGTTCTTTCCATAGTTTGGCTATTGTGGACATTGTTGCTATAAACATTCGAGTGCACGTGCCCCTTCGGATCACTACGTTTGTATCTTTAGGGTAAATACCCAGTAGTGCAATTGCTGGGTCGTAAGGTAGCTCTATTTTCAACTTTTTGAGGAACCTCCATGCTGTTTTCCAGAGTGGTTGCACCAGCTTGCATTCCCACCAACAGTGCAGGAGGGTTCCCCTTTCTCTGCATCTTCGCCAGCATCTGTCATTTCCTGACTTGTTAATTTTAGCCATTCTGACTAGTGTGAGGTGGTATCTCATTGTGGTTTTGATTTGTATTTCCCTGATGCCGAGTGATGTGGAGCACTTTTTCATGTGTCTGTTGGCCATCTGGATGTCTTCTTTGCAGAAATGTCTGTTCATGTCCTCTGCCCATTTCTTGATTGGATTATTTGTTCTTTGGGTGTTGAGTTTGCTAAGCTCCTTATAGATTTTGGATACTAGTCCTTTATCTGATATGTCCTTTGCAAATATCTTCTCCCATTCTGTCATTTGTCTTTTGGTTTTGTTAACTGTTTCCTTTGCTGTGCAAAAGCTTTTAAAAATATGGAATGCTGGGGCACCTGGGTGGCTCAGTGGGTTAAAGCCTCTGCTTTCGGCTCAGGTCATGATCCCAGGGTCCTGGGATCGAGTCCCGCATCGGGCTCTCTGCTCAGCGGGGAGCCTGCTTCCTCCTCTCTCTCTGCCTGCGTCTCTGCCTACTTGCCATCTCTGTCTGTCAAATAAATAAATAAAATCTTTAAAAAAAATAAATTAAAAAAAATATATGGAATGCTTTACAAATTTGCGTGTCATCCTTGTGCAGGAGCCATGCTAATCTTCTCTGTATCATTCCAATTTTAGTATATATGCTGCCGAAGCGAGCACTAGGTGATTTTTTATAAAAAAAGAAGGTAATATTTTCTACACATCTGAGAAGCTGTCATAAATGCACCCTGTATTTCTTAATGCCATAACTGAGAGAAGGTCACACATGGAATGGATAATGGGAGGAAAAACTTTCTTTCTCTCCTGATTCATTTTTTAATTCTTTCTTTAATAATCCTACTATAAGTATAAATGTTCTTAAAGCCAAAGTCAAGTCTTATTTCTCCTGTTCCCTCTTAGATGCTCAGGAAATGCAAGATCAATAAAAGGCGATAGTTCATATTCTGAAAAGTTAAAAGAGGAAACTAAAACTCAGGCTCTGGGCTGCTCTTCCACTAAAGTACTAGCAGTAGAAACCAAACTAGCTGTTTTGTACAGGATGTATAACCCTGTGTCCTACACTAAGCCAGAAAACAAAACGCTTGCCACAGATTAGTGGATTGAAGCTTCTGTTTCTAGGAAGATGCAAATACTCTGGGTGGTCGTGACACCGAACCAGCAGCTGTGGGGAAACAGTAATTACGGTTGGTCAGAATGAAAGTTTAATGTGTATCTGAGTGCTGATTGGGTTAGGACCACATGCTGGTGCTATAAATGCTGTAAATTTTTTTTTAAAGATTTTATTTTTTGACAGAGCACAAGCAGGGGGAGGGGCAGAGGGGGAGGGAAAAGCAGGCTCCCTGCCGAGCAGGGAGCCCCATGCGGGGCTTGATCCCAGAACCATGGGATCATGACCAGAGCCAAAGGCAGACGCTTAACGATGGAGCCACCCAGGCGTCCCAATACTATAAATTTTAATAACATCCAGTTTGCATGGCCACTAGTCATTTGTCCATCCTTGTGAAAGAGAAGTCTGTCTCTGGCCTTGCGGTCTATTTTGGTCTGCTAGTATGTAGACCATCTAATGTTAGTGTTGTGGGGAGTCTAGCTTACCAGAAAGAGTCAGAAAATTAGCACAAATTAGCATTTACTTCAAAATAGGCGAATTAGTTAATTCTTAAATTTCCTTATTCTTTTAGTCCATTTTTAAAATGTACCTTTATTTTAAAAAGTACTCCCAGAAATTTTCAGAAAATATATCTGAAACCTTACTGAGAAATAGAACTACTGTTACCATTTTGGTGAGTATCCTTCCAAATTTTTTTCTGTACATGTATGCACACTTAGGTGTTTATACTTTTTCCTATAACATTAGGACCATACAGTATGTACAGTTTGTTGTCATGTAGTTTTTTAAAAAGATTATTTATTTGAGGGGGGAGGAGAGAAAGAGAGAGTGAGCACAAGCGAGGGGGAGGGGCAGGGAGAGAGGGTGAAGTAAGATCCTCACTGAACAGGGAGCCCGACACAGGACTTGATCCCAGGAGTGCACGATCATGACCTCAGCAGAAGGCAGCCGCTTAAGCAACTGAGCCACCCAGACACCCCTGTTGTCACATTTTTTCTAAATTTTTTAAAAAATTCAGTTTAGTTAACATACACTGTCATGCATTTTTTAAAATTCAAGTATAATTGTGAACATTTTTCCATATTAATAAATGAAGATCTAAATTAGGGTCGTTAAAAATATTTTATTTATGTGACAGCAGACAAGCTGGCAGAGCAGCAGGCAGAGGGAGAGGGAGAAGCAGGCTCCCCGCTGAGCAAGGAGCCCGAGGTGGGCCTTGATCCCAGGACCCTGTGATCATGACCTGAGCCAAAGGCAGAGGCTTAACCGACTGAGTCACCCAGGCGCCCCTAAAGTTTTTAATAAATGCTGCCTGTTGGTTCCTTGAAACATGGTACTGTTTATTCAACCATCTCTCATTGATGTTCATTTTTGTTTTGTTTCTAATTTTTTGAAATAAAAAATGCTACAGGGGCGCCTGGGTGACTCATCAGCTAAGTGCCCACCTTTGGCTCAGGTCATGATCCCGGAGTCCTGGGGTTGGGCCCAGTCTCAGAATCCCAAGCCTGCTTCTCCCTCTCCCCCTGCCACGCTCCCTGCTTGTGCGCACGCATGCGCACGTGTTATCTCTGTCAAATAAATAGTATGTTAAAGTGCTATAGCAAACAGCTTGGGCACACCTTTCGGGGCATGCATTTAGTTAGGACAGTCTTGGTGATCGGAAATCTTGTGGGTTTGGGGAGGACACCGAGTCGGCTGAGCCAGGGTTCCGCAGTAGCCGCCCTCGCAGCTAGGCAGCCGTGGAGCTTTGTTCCGTCCCTCACCGAGGTGGATGTGGGTCGGATCGTCCTTCTCCAGCTTGTAGCTCTGATGTCTGGACACATCCTTCAAGGTTGCCACAGATGGGAAATGAAGCTAGAGAATCCCGCAGGGGCTTTTAAGGGCCAGACCTGGAAGTGGCTACATCACTTGCACCCAGGTGGGACTGGAACTCTTGTCTCTGACTTGCCTGCAAAGAAGCCTGGGAAATATCCTCTTGTCTTGTGCTCAGAAAGAAAACAGTGTGGGGAATGCTCAGCATTGTTTCTGCCACCGTGCATGTGTCTGCTTATGTCCTTAGAAGAACCTGTTCCTTTTTAATTCAAAATGTGTACATGTACGATCCCAGTTAAATTTGCTCAGGTTCCTCACTTTTCCAAATAATTTCTTGGGGAAATTAGCAATTCTGTTTCCATCCATATTTCCTTGTCTCACTAAATAAAAAAATGGATATAATTAATATTTTATTGTGCGATGTTTACTTAAAAGTAAACTCAGCAGGTTTATTGAAGGACTTCCACATGAGATTAATAATCTTTTAATAAAAAAGTGGTTTACTACAATGGCAGTTTTTATATCCTTTATTACATAATTCTTACCCGCATTTAGCCTGATACAAAAATGATAAAATCTTAGACATAAGAGTCAACAGGAAAATGTATATATCTTATTTTTAACTCACTATTAAACATTTTAAGCCTTTACTGATTTTATCACCAAAGTTTGCTATTTATATAAATAAGCCTAGGTTAAACTTTAATCATAAGAATTATTTTCTTCTCCCTACCTTTTTGCTTTGAAAATGTTCAGATTTACAGAAGAATTATAGAATACCCTATAACCCTTCATTAACTAATAACGTAATACCATGTTTGCTTTATTGTCCGCCCCCACCACCAATCCTTTGAAAATAAGTTGTAGACATGCTAACACTTCACCCCTGAAGGCTTTCGTGTGCATCTCCTAACAGTAAGGACATTCTTCTGCGTGGCCGCAAAAACAGTAACACACAAGAACAATAACAATAACAAGTAAATAAACATAATCTAAAAATGCATAGAACATCCAGTCATCCTCAAAATCTCCTTCATAGGTATTTCCCCCCCAGTTTAGGGTCCAAGAGGTTCTTGCCTCTTACTTAGTTATTCATCAGAAGACTTTTTCTGGCTAATTGTTAATAGTGGCGAAAATAGGATTTGCTTTTATTAGCAGTAATAGTAGCTACTCTTATCTTGAAATCTTAATATATAACTGCATTCATTATTTTATGTATCTTCAAGATAGGTGTATTAGTACTTTACCCAGTGAGAAAAGTTATCTTCAGATAAGTTACTTGTTGAAGATACACAGTTAGGGGTATGGTTGAGGTTTAAACCTGGGTATCTCTGATCCCAAATCCTGACGTTTTTTTCTGTGTCATACTGACTATATCAGGAAACTTAATATGAATTTAGAAATGTTCGTCCAAAAAAACCATTTTTGTCTTTTCCTATTTGTAGGCCAGACGAAGGTCCCTACGGCCAAGCTGTTGGTTAGGTAACTTTCTGAGGTTTCTGCTAGCTCTGCCGCTCATTGTTTCTCAAATCTACCTCATGTGGATTATGAAAGAAGATCCACACATGTACCCTTGACCTTTGAACAACATGGATTTGAACTACATGGGTCCACTTATATACACAATTTTTTTAGTAAATGTATTGAAAGATTTGTGGAGATTTGCAACAATTTGAAAAAACTTGCAGATGAACCATGTAGCCTAGAAATAATGAAAAAATTAAGTTAGGTATTACTGTATAATACATCTAATGTACAAAATATGTGAATTGACTATTTATGTTGTTGGTAAGGCTTCTGGTTAACAGTAGGCTGTTAGTGTTTGTTTTGGGGACATCAAAGTTACATATGATGGATTTTCAATTGCATGGGGGGGGGGTGTCAGTTCCCCTAACCCTGGCATTGTGGAAGAGTCAACTATATTTAACAGCTTTATTGAGATAAAATTCACATACTATGCAGTTCACTCACTGAAAGTATGAAATTCAATGACTTTTAGTATATCCTAGAGTTACGGAAGTCATCACCACCATCCATTTTAGAATACTGTCCTCACCCACAGAAGCAGTACTGGACCCTTTAGCAGCCCACCGCTCTTTGCGCCCACATCTCCAGCCCTAGGAAACCACTGATCATGGTCTCTTCAGATTCGCTTGGTCATTCACAGAAATGGAATCGCACTATGCGGTCTTTTATCACAGGCTTCTTAGGATGCTTTTAAGGTCCATCCACGTTGTAGCCTGTGCCAGTGCCTCATTTCTTTTTCCTGCCGAACACTGGTTTGCTTTGTGGGGACGCCACATTGTGCTTACTCATCAGTCGGATGTTTGCGTTGTTTCCCTTTTTGACTGTTACAAAGAATGCTGCTGTGAACGTTCGTAGCAGGTTTCTGTGTGAGCATGCATTTTCAGTTCTCTTGGGTTTATACCAGGAGTGGAATTCCTGGGTCATATGGTAACTCTATTTTTAACCTTTTTTTTTTTTTTTTTAAACCTTTTGGGGAACTGCCAGTCTTTTCTGTGGTGGCTGCACTGCACATTCTCACCATTTTACATTCCCTAGTGTGTGAGGCTTCTGACTTCTCCGCATCCTCACCAAAACCTGCTGTTACTTGTCTTTGACTCCAGCCATCCTGGTGGATGTGAAGTCACATCCTTGTGGTTTAGATTTTCATCTCCATGATGGATATGGAGGGAGACTGCATATATCCATGTATATATAAAATACAGGGGTGTTTGTATGTGTGTGTACATATGATGTGTTTTTGTACTTTCCTCACAAGCTGCCTGGTTGGATGAGACCAGCATCCTTATAGGAACTTGGTTCTTGACTTGGTTATCCTTTCAAATACGTTAGTTCTGATTTACTATGACCTTGCAATAGGGGAAGTGAAGATTTTTTTTTAAGGGCTTTCCCTGAAAGAGGTGCGTTTTAGGCACATTGCAGCAAGTTTTCAGTCTTCTCTCCTGTGTATAAAACCTATATGGCAAGAAGATACTAAGGAAACCAGAATGAGAAGCGTACAGGGACAGAAGGTTCATCTCCCGTTTGTTGCTATAGGTCATCACCTGGAGTGGGATTGGTGTGTAGCAGGTGTTACATAAATGTTTCTGAGTGAATGGAAAAGGTTACGTATTTCTTTTTCTGGATCTTTTAAAAGATTTCCTAATTTGTACAAAATAATGCTTTTTTTGTATACAGATATAATCAAAGGGTGAATAACCCATGTATTTATCAGCATAGAAACTAAGAGAAATTGAAATGATTTATTTATTTTTAAGATTTTATTTGAGACAGAGTGTAAGAGAGTGTGTGGGGGTCAGGGGAAGCGTGATCCCTGGATACTGGGATCATGACCTGAGCTGAAGCAGATGCTTAACTGGCTGAGCCACCCAGGGGCTCCCGAAATGATTCATTTTTTATAAAATGACGAGTTAGTTTGCTTAACCTGGAAATGAGTGTTATTTAAAAGCAAAGGATGTTGTAAGAATTGAGTATTTAGGAATTCTTATATTTTGCATCTCAATTATGTATGTTTTCTGTTGTAGCCACTTTGGAGACTAATTAATGATACTAAAGACAAAAGAATATTAGTTTATAAATCTGAAGATATTAAGAATGTTTCACGTCTACAGTCTCCAAAAGTATGTGGTTATATAAAGGCTGATAATGAAGAGTTGCTTCCAAAAGGGCTGGTAGACAGAGAGCCACCTGACGGTAAGACTTAAAAATATATATCAAATAAGAAACAAGCATTATGGCTGTCTTCAATAGGGGTGGTTGTTAATTTATTATTCAGAAATTTCTTTAATACTTTTGCTTATAATGTAAGAACTGAAAATACTAGAAAATAATGGTAACAGTAAAGATTGGAAAAAGTCTACAGAAAAAGGAAATTGAATAATCTGAGGGAAATTTTCTTTTTTGGTAAATAGATATTAAAGAAGGATTGATATATAGTGCTTAAGTGGGTGTGGAGAGGAGGGAAAAATATTTTTCTTGGGTACTTAGAAATGACAAAATAATACTGTTGAAAGATAATCTTTAGGTAAGTTTATAAGAAATTAGTTGGTACAAGGAGAGGTCTGTACTATTTAGAAAGAGGTTTTCAGTCTTGGGACAGATCGCTCTATATATTTGTATAAATATATGTTTTGTTTTTTTTTTTTTTTTTAAGATTTTATTTATTTATTTGAGAGAGAGTGAGAGAGAGCATGAGCGAGGAGAAGGTCAGAGAGAGAAGCAGACTCCTCGAGGAGCCGGGAGTCCGATGCGGGACTCGATCCCAGGACTCCAGGATCATGACCTGAGCCGAAGGAAGTTGTCCAACCAACTGAGCCACCCAGGCGTCCCTAAATATATGTTTTTAAGATTTTTTTATTTTTAAGATTTTATGTATGTATTAGAGAGAGAGAAAGCGTGCGCACATGTGTGCATGCATGTGTTGGGGGAAGGGGAGAGGGAGAGAGAGGGACAAGCAGACTTTCCGCAAAGTAGGGCTCCATCACAGGACTCTGAGATCATGACCTGACCCGAAGTCAGACGATTAGCTGACTGAGTCACCCAGACACTCCCAGGATTTATTTTTAAAGTAATCTCCACACCTAATGTCAAGCTTGAACTCACAACCCTGAGATCAAGAGTCACCCACTCTACCAACTCTGCCAGTCCAGCACCCCAGGGTCATTAAAAAACTAACCATCTTGGAGAAGTACTCTACTGTCCTCATTTTTGAAAACTTAGAAAATATGACTGACATTTTTGTATATAAATACTCAATTGAATATTTGATAAGAAAAAGGACCTGTTACATAAACTAATTTTAATGTCTGATTATCTTGATAGTTTTACCCCTTTGCATAAATTATAAACTTCTAGAAGAAAATGACTGTTTCATAGTCCAACAATAAATTAGACTGTTTTACTTTAAGTACTTTTTAAGTTTCCTTATTTTAAAAATTAAGGAGGCCCTTTTCCTTGGTTTTGAATTCTATGATTTTAAAACCTATTACTTTTTACTTTTCTGTCTTCTTCCATATGGTTTTTTGGTTGAAGATAGTCTTTAAGGATACTAAGCTCAAATAATGTTTGTTTCAAAAATATGCTAGATTTAAAATGTTATTATAAAAAAAACTCCTTGTTTTGATGAATTTTGATTTAATAGTGCATACAAATTCATATTAGAGCTTGTTCATCGAGTGAAGAGAAGAGCCGACCCCAATCCCATGAAGAACACGTGTAAATTGTTGGTGGTAGCAGATCATCGCTTTTACAGATACATGGGCAGAGGGGAAGAGAGTACAACCACGAATTACTTAGTAAGTATCAGATATTGGATCAGGTCACTGGACACAAAATCGAGGTAGGGAGGCATATTCCATTTAAGAGAAGACTCCTGTGTTGTGAAATGTAATGAAATGAGATCTATTTCAGATGCTCTGTTATTTCCTAAGATAATGGGGAGCTCTCTGAGGTCTTACACTACTCTGTAGAGAGTCTAGTTTCAAATTTTTGAAAATCCACTTTACCTTTGAACTAGTATTTTCTGCACATTAGAATTTTCATGCATATTAAGGTTTAACATTTTTTATTCACGTGAACTCTTCGAAAACATCACTGCTGTAGTAACGGCCATGACACATGGTTGGATGTGTGCCCCAGAGCGAAAAAAAGTATTAGTCTGGACTTGTGTGTGTTCTCTGCTTATAAGTATATTTCAGAGAAGATGGTCAGTTTGGTGTTTATTGTATAAAATAGCTAATTGTCGGAATATAACTTCGTGGAGTCGATGGGACTCTTCTGGTCATAACTAACGGTAGGGCAAAGATTCAAAGGAAGGGCTACAGAAGTACTGACGCTGGGTGTTTGTGCCTTTGCTATTATAATTTGAAAAGCCAGGGAATCCCATTTCATTGACATTTTTGTTAGTATGATCTCATTCGTCATTATATCTTGGCACTGACAAAATGTTGTTGTTGAGGGAATAAAAGAGAATGCTGCTATTCATGAACCAAGAGCATAGGCCCCCAAAGACGTCTTTCTCATGGCCTTGCTTTTTCCATTCCCTGTGTTTTATTCATACCCTCCCTCACCCTGCTTTCCCTCCCCTTCCCATGTCAAGTGAAAGAATTTCTTATGAGGGTAGTAGGAGTAGTGTGTGAAATCACTGTTCTTGTTCCTAAGTAGGAAGGATTCTTTCTTGAAAATGTTCCTTTCTTAATGCGGGTTTTGTATTAAGGGCCTTAATTTACTTTTTGTTTATTACCCCACAAATAGGAATATAACGAGAGGCCTAGTCTGAAAAATTGCAGCTCTTAGTTTTACACTTACTATAAGCAAAGAACAAGTTTTAGATCGCTGATCTGCTTCACAGTTGCTAGAACCAGCCTCATGCAGCCAGTTTGTGAACAGTGGACTAGTCTGTTTGAGGAAAAGATGGGTAATGAGCATTTTGTTCTTATGTAGTTGGGGTCACCCTTGTTCGTCCTCCCTCAGTATTCTGTCTACCTTACCTCCCCTCCGAAAGCAGAGGACAGAAGTAAGGGGGACCAGTGGAAGCTCACTCCTCTCCTCTCTCTGCCCAGGCCTTGGTGCTGGACTTTGCCCGGTGAGGGCCGGGGGTAGGTTGAGCAGCATCCATCCGTGCCCCTCACCTCTTTCTGAGGAAGGCATCTGAGGTTCTTGCCGAGAGATGGAGTGGCGATGGATTGCTTCTTAGAAGGGCAAATTTAAACAAACAAGCAAACAAACAAAAAAGGGCAAATTTTAGGTATACCGGTTGACTTTTAAATTTCATTTTTATAGTTGAATGGAATGGCAGTTTTTTAGAAGCTGTTATTGATATTTTGGTTCATACGCAATTGATATCCTAAAATTTGAAACGAACTGTACCATTTCTTGATTCTGGTAATAATACTCTAAGCTCGAGGCGAGGAATAATTCTTTTGTTAGTGTCATCGTGGTGAAGACCGCCATCTGAACGCTGGTTTTGTGAATAGGTGCAAACTTTTTACAGTGGTGTTTTCTCTAAACTGACCATTTTAATCCCTGCAGAATTTATTTCATGTTGCAGAGCGGTAAACATACACGTCTTTCTCTCATTTTCTGTTCTAAACGCAGATAGAACTCATTGACCGAGTGGATGACATCTATCGGAACACTTCATGGGACAACGCGGGTTTTAAAGGTTATGGAATACAGATAGAGCAGGTATTTACCAATGGATGTGGCTGCGGCTGTATAACTCCGCTGAGTGATGCGATGCAAATATGTGTCACTTGTATTCAGAACCCAAAAACCGATCTTCAACTCTAATCTTACAAATTTTCAAATGCCAGTGATTTTCATCTGATTTGTATAGTGTTTTTGAATTATTTACAGATTGTGAAGTTTTTTGTTCTTAGGCTCGTTGAGGCAGGAAGGCTTTTTAGGCTGCTGTGATCTCTTCTTTTTTTTTTTTTTTAGATTATTTATTTATTTATTTGACAGAGAAATCACAAGTAGGTAGAGAGGCAGGCAGAGAGAGAGAGAGAGAGAGAGAGAGAGAGGGAAGCAGGCTCCCTGCTGAGCAGAGAGCCTGATGCGGGGCTCGATCCCAGGACACTGAGACCATGGTCCGAGCCAAAGGCAGATGCCCAACCCACTGAGCCATCCAGGTGCCCCTCCTGTGATCTCTTCTTTCTCTGAATTTATGTTTTTATCCCCCTTCACTGTTTTACTTTTTTGATTATGCTTTATGTCTTCAGTTAGAATGTTGGCACATATTGTTGAATCCTTAGAAATTTACTCAGAAATACTGTGTGTACATTTGCAAGGAATTTATGCATATAGAACCAGTAGATCTCTTTTCCTCAGAATTTTCTGGTTTCTTCTAATCTGTGAATAGAGCGCATCCAGTAATGGTGTATTGATGTCATTTTAATTATATCTCATAGTAAACATTGTTCGAAAATTATAAGACTAATTAAAAAAATTCTGAAGTTGGGTATTGCTTTGGACAGATATTTAATATATTTAATAAATTATTATCTCTTGTTTTTTCCAGGCTCTTTGTGCTAAATTAACCATGTTCTTAAAGGTTCTGTAGTATAGAACTTAGAGATTAAGAAACAAAATTTTTGAAATCATGCATATTATATAAATGTTAAACTTTTATAGTACTTGTATAAAACTAAGAGAATTATTTTTCCCTTTTCCATTCTCTTTTACTGTTTTGCATTTTCTTTTAAGTTATTATTTGACTAGGTAATATATACACATGGTACAAAAGCCAGTGAAAAGTAAGTCTCTTCAACCTCTACTATTGTCAAACCATTCCCTTTCCCCAGAGACATCCATGTCACAATCTCCTAAGTACCGTCCTGGAGAGATTTGGTGCATGTGTAGCATGTGGATGTGTATGTGTATATTTGACACATGGTGGTGTGCTCTACTCTTTGCACCTTGCTTTTTCATTTTGTGTCTATGTTGATGGTTGTTCCATTGTGGTACATAGAAAGCTGCCTCCCTTGTCTAAAACAGCAGCATCATGTTCAGGTTTTAGGAGACCAATAAATAAAACTCCGTTTTGCCATAAGAAGTTGGAGCCACTTGGAAAAATGGCGCAGTGTAGATTTGAAATGCCAGCTTTGTAATAATGATAATAGGTGGATTGGAGGGTATGATTTAGATGTGCAATCACAGTGGGTTTCCATCTGTTTCATCCCAGAATTGGTCTTGACCACCCACCACCAAAGCTGCAAAGCCCTTCCCTGTGAGCCTGCCATATGGTGGCGGAGCGGACCAGATTATACCCCCCCAGGCAGGCACATCCAGAAGAGAGGCCAGAAATGGCTAAGCGGAGCATGGCTTTGTTCTTTTCCTTAAACACACTCACTGGTCGATACGTTTCATCTCCTTTGGAGGAAAGCCTTTGTTCCTTTTTTTATTAAAGCAGGATTAACATGAGTTTTTTACTTTATGTCCAAGGAAAAGCCCCTGTTCTTTATCATCTTTTATTTCCGTGGGGTGCAGTGACAGACATCTAGTTCTTTGTTTCTGAATCATTGACTATGGTTGGAGTAAATATTTTAGGCTTAGGAACCCAGGTTCTCATTTTATCAAACTAAATGTAGAAGAAATAAGAGTTCAGGAATACATTTATAAGTTGATAAGTAATATAATAATAAATAATAAGCCATTGACATACATGTTTACCATATCATACCAAGCATATCATATGCTTCTCAGTTTTTTTTTAAATGAATATTAGAGCTGGAATTGTAGTTTTAAAACATTTTTTTCTAGAATGGTGGATGATCTTATTTTGCATAGCTAAAACAGTGCAGTATTGTTCAGTCTTGTGACTTTTTTCTGAAGTGTTCTAAGTATATTGTCTCTTTAAGTATAGATCCGCATTCTCAAGTCTCCACAAGAGGTGAAACCCGGTGAAAGGCACTATAACATGGCAAAAAGTTACCCAAATGAAGAAAAGGATGCTTGGGATGTGAAGATGTTGCTAGAGGTAGGTGGTGGAGTCCCAGATGTGGTGCTGCTGTTAGCATGCTTGGTGGTTTCTCTAGCCCATGGGGCGTGTCTGCATCAATGAAGGGGCGCGCTGAGAAAGGTCACTGAGAACCAGGAGCAGCGCATCCCAGTAACCCAGCAGTGACGCTTTAGCGGGGCCGACAGCAAGACGGGCCAAAAGGTTGTCAAAATGAAAAATGAAAAAAATGAAAATGAAATGAAAAAAAAAAAAACAAAAAAAAAACAGCTAGAAGGCGGTTCTTCTTGACCTTAATATCTTCAAGAATCCAGTTAAAGTATTGAGACTTTAGAAAATGTATACTCAATATAAACATTTTTTGCACACCATTCTGTTCAGGTTTCTTTGAAACTTATCAGTAGATCTGCTAGGTCAGGAATTGTCAAACAGTATGAAGATGTGAAAGTTTTCTTGAAGATGTGAAAGTTTTCTACAGGATTTAAAAATCTTCGTGACTATATTCTAGTTAGAAATCTGAAGATTAAAAAAAAAAAAAAAAGAAAGAAATCTGAAGATAGCCTAAACGTTCTGTGCCTTATGAGTCTTGCCTTGACGGGTATGATTGATCCTTTTTGCCACATATTTCAGCGTCTTGAGTTTGTGTATGCAATTGCTTTGTCATAGAATTGCCTTCCAGGAAGTGAGAGTGATCTTCTGATACGCTCGTGCGTGTGTTGGTTTCCTCTGGCTCCTCTAACAAGTTACCGCAGACTCGCAGCTCATAACAACGCGACTTACCCAAGTTGTCTCTGTGGGTTAGTCCACGTACAGTGTGGCTTATGTCTCACAAGGCAGAAATTAAGTTTTCAGAGCTTGGAGTTAAAGGATATGGCCAGCTCTTCATCCAGGTCGAGATGCGCAGGGTGCTGCCTGTGTTGCCTACTCTCCGTGTCTTCTGGGCTGTGACCCGCTGCCCGGCCAGGTCACTTCTCGAGAGGCTCGGTGAGGGGAGCGGTCCGTCAGGACTGCCGGTAACAAAACGCTGCACACTGGCAGCTTAAACAACGGAAATTTATTTCTCACGGTTCTGGAGGTTGGAAAACCAGAGCAAACTTAAAATGAACAAAAACCCTGGGCACCTGGCTGGCTCAGTCAGAGGAGCACGCGAGTCTTGATCTTCGGGTTGTGGTATCGAGCCCCATGTTGGGTGTAGAGATTACTGAAAATAAAAAACAAAACAAAACCACCACGTACAAAACCAGTGGAGTCCTTGAAATACTTTAGGGGGTTCTGTTTGGTATTCGGTGCTGACATCCCGTGGACAGAGTATCCAGGCTCTGAGACTTACAGAATTGGAATGTCTCCAGGGCTGGGCTGCACGGCTTCACACCAGCCCTCTTGGTTTTGAGCTGCTCTAAAAAGCCCCCAGGTTCTTCCCTGTCCTGTCCCCCACCCCGACTAGATGGTACTCCTCTCCTTTCCTGTATCGGTGGGTGAAAATTGTACACAAGCGTTGTGCGGCGGGTGTGTGTTCTGATGGAGGGCTGCAGTCAGTCACACGGCAGTGTTCTCCAGGGTCTGGTCGAAACATGTCTGATGTAATTGTTAATCTAATTAAGAATACTTTTTTTCTTAAAGCAATTTAGTTTTGATATAGCCGAAGAAGCATCTAAGGTCTGCCTTGCACATCTTTTCACCTACCAAGATTTTGATATGGGAACCCTTGGGTTAGCTTATGTCGGTTCTCCCAGAGCCAACAGCCACGGAGGTGTTTGCCCAAAGGGTAAGTTTTCCGTTTGTTGTGCGGATGTGTGAGAATGGCAGGCTGATTAGATTATATTGTTATCCTGTGTTCGATAAGCAATTTGTCTCTGTTTCCTTTGTCCTCTAGCTTATTATAGTCCAATTGGAAAGAAGAATATCTATTTGAATAGTGGCTTGACCAGCACAAAAAATTATGGTAAAACCATCCTTACAAAGGTATGTTCTCTTATTTTTTAAAAGGATAGATTTTGAGTTTGTTTTAGTAGAACCTTAGCGGTATATATTTATGTAGGTATCTTTTTAAAAAGTGGTATATACTTCTGTTTGCTTCTGCTTAAAAAAAATATATGTTTTGGTGGGAAATGTGAAAATAAAAAATATAAAGAAAAAGATAAAAAGCTACCTGTGAGATTTCTTTTGAGAGTGGTCAGGGTCCTTGTTTTTCCTGAAGTCACCCCTCCTGGAGCCCTTCATCCCGTGCTTTTCTGTGGGCTGCTCGGTCCCCAGTCCTGCAGTGTGGCAGTCGTTAAAAGACTTCCCACTCTCTCTCGTTTCCTGGACCTCATGTTCTTTCTTTTTCTTTTTTTTCTTAAGATTTTATTTATTTATTTGAGAGATTGAGAGGGAGATAGCATGAAGACGGGGGGAGAGAGGAGGGTCAGTGGGAGAAGCAGACTCCCCACCAAGCCTGACGCGGGGCTTGATGCTGGGACTCCTGGACCGTGACCTGGGCTGAAGGCAGATGCTTCACTGACTGAGCCACCCACGAGCCCCTGCTCTTGCTCTTTCTTGATTTATACGGTCATTTTGGTATGGCATACCTTCCAGGAGTTTCCTAAGAAAAGGGTACATGAGAGGCAAATTGAGATTTTTTACATATCTGAAATGTCTTTACCCTACACTTAAATTTGATTGATAATTAAATTTTTTCAGCATTTGCAGGCGTTGTTCCATTATTGTCTTCCAGTGTTTTGTGTTACCCTTAGAATCTGAAATCATTCTGATTTTTTTATCCTTTGTATGTGACCTGTTTTTTCCTTTAGAAGATTTTAGGATCTTGTTTTTGCCCAGATACATCCATTAAGAATGTGTTAGGCACATTCCAGCAAATCCATAAACTGAAAATCCAACAAACAGTGACTTCTAAGAGATGTATTTGCTTCAGTCAACCACAGGGTCAGGGACAGCGTCCTCTGGATGCTGAAGCAGCTTAGTGATGCTCCCTCAGGGAACCAGGATCTTCCCAGTTTTCACTCAGCCCCTCTGAACACAGGCCTTTGTCCTCATGCGTATCCTCTGCTCACAAGATGGTTCTCTTCTGTGTTGCAAAAAGAGGGACAGAGCCTCGTCTGTCCCTTGTAAAAGAAAAAAAACTCTGGAAGTCCCACCCCCTCTGTTTCTATCTCACTGGACAGCCTGACCTACCTTCAAAGAAATACGGGAAGAGGCTATTTTAAGAGTACACTGCCAGCCTGAGCAGGATTAGGATTTTTTAAGGAAGGAAGAAGGGGAGAATGGGCATTGATGGGAAATACTAGTTTCTGACACACTGGTAGTTTGGCTCCAACGTTATACGTGCTGTAGGTTTTTTATCCCACTGTGTTGGGCCCTTCAGTCTGGACACACCAAACTGCCACAGTCCTGCTGTTCTGTTGTTGATCTCGTTCATCAGGACCCCATTTAAGAAAAGCAGGGCCTTGCTGGCCAAAGTAGCTGACGGTGGGATATTAAGTCATAGCGTTTTCTTTGTATGATCATTTAAGGAAGCCGACCTGGTAACAACTCATGAATTGGGACACAATTTTGGAGCAGAGCATGATCCGGATGGCCTAGCAGAATGTGCCCCAAATGAGGACCAGGGAGGAAAATACGTTATGTATCCCATCGCCGTGAGTGGAGATCATGAGAACAATAAGGTATGTATCTTCTGGAGCTTTTTTGGGTAAGGAAGGAAAGAGACTATTATGTTTAATTATAATGAGAGCTCAGAAGAGCCTTCCATTCCAGGTCTGGAACTGTGACTTACAAAGTACCCTCAAACTTGGTTGTGTGTTTTAGAGTGAGGTGTGGTGCATCGAATCTGGTTTATGTTATCATTTGGACTGTTATCAAAGTTAATTGTGTTGATGGGGACTATATGGAAAATTAGTGATAGTAATGGCTCATGTTAGAGGTTTAGATGACAGGGTCTGGTGCAAGTTAAAAGTTTCATGTCATCTCTCTCTCTCTCTTTTTTAAGATTTTATTTATTTGACAGAGCGAGAAAGCACAAGCAGAGGGAGCACCAGGGGTAGAGGGAGAAATAGGCTCCCTGCTGAGCAGGGAGCCTGATGTGGGGACTCAGTCCCCAGACCCCAGGATCATGACCTGAGCCAGAGGCAGACACTTAATCAACTGAGCCATCCAGGCTCCCCAAAAATTTCATGTCATTTCTTATACAAGCTGTTGTTCCTTTTAACTCTACTTAATTTGCACGTTTTCATCAACTTTTGCAACAAAATACATAATTTGCCAGATTATAAACCCCTGTGGGAAAGGCCCATCCATGCTTGTCTTGTTCACAGCTCTGTCTCTAGTGCCTAGCAGGGGTCCCTGGCATGTAGTAATTGGTTGAATAAATAAATGAAGTTTACTGCCAGGGGTTTCTGAGAGTACACTAATCCCATGGGAGAAAGTAAGCCTGGCTACGACGGACTCTGCAAGTGTTCACAGGTGTCTGTTTTGTGCATTTCACTTAAGTTAAGCGGCACAAAGCGTCAGGAGGAGAACACACTGGTGGTGCCGAGTTAGAGAGGGCTGGCTCTAACTGGGAAAGATGGTGAAGTATTTCTCCTGGTTCCTTTTTGGAGCCAGGCCCTGGCTTTAATTTAAAGCCTGGCAGGGAGCTAGAGGAAGGGATTATTTTTGTGTTTCCCTGGCCCTGACCCTGCTTTTGGAAGTTTCTTTCTTTTATTCTTTTTGTCATCTTTTTCCTTGGCTCTTAAGTATAAACGCTCTCTTCCTCTCTTGTTTTGCACCTTAAGCTTTATATTTCCTCTGCTTGACCGCTTGTGCCCCAGGAGCTCTGCCCTCCCTGTTGCACTGTTCCTCCGACTTGCCACATCCTGTTTCTCAGAGTTGTCTCTGCATTTTATTTTTTTTTAAATGATTGATTTATTTTTTTAATTTTAATTTTTTAAAAAGATTTTATTTATTTATCAGAGAGAGTGAGCACAAGCAGGGGGAACAGCAGTCAGAGCAGGCAGAGGGAGAAGCAGGCTTCCCGCTGAGCAAGGAGCCCAATGCGGGACTCAGTCCTAGGACCCTGGGATTATGACCTAAGCTGAAGGCTGCTGCTTAACCAACTGAGCCACCAAGGCGTCCCTGATTTACTTATTTTTAAAGAGAGAATGTGTGCTTGAGGGGGACGAGGGACAGAGGCAGAGGGAGAGAGAGAATCTCAAGCAGACTCCCTGTGGAGCCCAGCACAGGGCCCGATCTCACCACCCCGAGATCACAACCTGAGTCAAAGCAAGACAAGAGATGCTTAACTGACTGAGCCAGTCAGCTGCCCTCTCTGCATTTCTAATCGTGTATATGGTAGCTTAGCGCTATTCAGTAGAAGGTTCTGGGATGACGGAAACATTCTGTGTTAATACAGCAGCACTAGCCATAGGTGCCTGTTGAGCACTCCAGATGTGACCAGAGAGACCAAGTAACTGAATTTTAAATTCTGTTTATTTTATTTTATTATTCTTTCTAAATTGTTTTATTTAAATTCAATAGTGATTGCCTAGGGCTGGAGCTGGGAATGGGAATTAACTGTAAAAGGACATGAGGGACCTTCCTGGGACAAGAACATGTCCACAAGCTGATTTGTGGTGATGGCTGCCCTATTTGGTAGTTATTGGAAATCCCTGACTTGGACACTTGAAGTGGGTAAATTTTGTGATATATAAAATATGTCTTAAATAAAGCTATTAGGAAACAAACAATAATAACAACCCAGCATGAGGGGAGGTGTTGAGGGCGCAGAGGAGGGGGAAGCCATAAGGTGATGGTTGTGGAAGCTGGGGAGGGGCATGTGGGCATTCATGATACCATCGTGTCTACTTTGCAGCTGTGTGAACATTTCTATAATAAAAAGTCTGAAGTATGTGGTGAGGAGGAAGAAATTGAAATAGCCACATTTGGCTCCTGGCTGTAGTTTAGACGGTACACTCTCTGGTCAATTGCTTCTTTGTTATTGAGGATGGTTTGAGTACTTTGGGGGAAATTGTCTTACTTTATAGACTTGTCCTCTATAAGTTCTTCTTGTGAAATTTCCCTGTGAGCTCTTCCATGGCCTTGTAATGACTTCTAAGGAGAATAGTGCCTGGCTAGAGCCTTTTTTTTTTTTTTTTTAAATTTAGGGAAGTGGGGGCACCAGGGTGGCTCAGTCAATTAAGCATTTGCTTTTGGCTCAGGTCATGATCCCCTGGAGTCCTGGGACTGAGCCCCATATTGGGCTCCCTGCTCAGTGAAGATTCTGCTTCTCTCTCTGCCCCTCCCCTGCTTATGCTCGCTCTAACTCACTCTCTCAAACAGATAAATAAAATCTTAAAAAAAAAAAAAAATTCAAGAAGCGCTAGTCATCCACATTGGGCATAGAGCTTTTTTTAAAAAAAAAAAAAAAACACGGGCAACTCTCGGGGCACCTGGCTGGTTTGGTCAGTAGAGCACATGACTCTTGATCTCAGGGTTGTGAGTCCAAGCCCCATGTTGGATGGGGAGCTAAGCTAAATGAAAAGTGAGGGACAAGAAAAGGAGGTGCTAGTTTATCAAAAAAGAACAATTTGTCCATTTATTTATTTTGTCCTAAGCACATCATGTTTAGTGTATTTTCTGTTAGTTTGGTTTTCCCAAGTAGTGATCCTCTAATAAAAAGATACTGGGTGGGACGCCTGGGTGGCTCAGTGGGTTAAAGCCTCTGCCTTCGGCTCAGGTCATGTTCCCAGGGTCCTGGGATGGAGTCCCACATCGGGCTCTCTGCTCAGCAGGGAGCCTACTTCCCCCCACCACATCCTGCCTGCCTCTCTGTCTACTTGTGATCTCTGTCAAATAAATAAATAAAATCTTAAAAAAAAAAAAAAAAGATTAAAAAAAAAGGAAAAAAGATACTGGGCGTCTTCTAATCTACACTTTCAATGAATTTCTTAATAAAAATGTTTGTAACTAGGTAAGAAGCGCTCCCGTTTCCTTGACCTCAAAAGACAGGGCCTGGCACCTCCCACAGGCAAGCTGCTGAGGCCTCAGGCCTCACTGTGCTCATGTGGCACAAGGGGGGTGAGTTTGTAGGAGGGTTTGTTGGTGCAAGAGGAGAGAGTGTGGGAAGGGTGCAAACAGAAGGCCAGAGGTCTTCAGGAAGCATGAAAATTGTTCTCTTAGCTCTTAGCCCAAGGGCCCCGGCCCTCGGATTGTAGCTGTGGCAGGTTAGTGAGGAGGCTGCTTACTGCTTCAGTGTGAATTCTAATTTCCTAGCATCTGGTCTCACATGAGTGCACTGCTAAAACTGAGTTCGCGGATCTGCAGTGCTTGTGAGTAAACCCAGCAAATTCTAATTGCCCAAGGCCTAGACTGAAATAACCAGAGCCCCTAAATATCTTCACCGTAGAATAAATAGGAAGACCCTTTAAAAAACAAAAAAAAAACAAACCAAAGATCTGGTTAATATTTCTGTTTAGGGTGATAAGGTCTTGGATATCATTCCAAAAGTAATCCTTTAGTATCTGATTCAGCGATCACTGTTCCCTTAGGAGGGTCCTGTGCCCTCCGCTCCTCAGGGGCTCCGCGGCTGTCATCTGGGGCAAAGGGAAGCCATTTTAGCAACTGTGCAATAGTTGTGGAGATGCTGTCTCCACAGCATCACTGCACAGGTTTTCCTTCAGTCTCTTACTCCCTTTCTTGCTAATTGCAGATGATTTGGGAAATGGACTCCATTTCAGAGCTCCTGGTAAAAAATCCCCAAATTTATAAGGAAGCCATTTCCCTGGTTCTGTATTGCAAGTGGAGCAGTGAGGGTAGAGGCTTCCTGTGGGACATTGGTCACCTGCAGAAATCTCAAACTTAAAATCCTGGAGACCCATGTGAATGTTTAGGTAACAATTTGGATTCTTGTCGTTTAATAGACTGTATGTAATAGCCTACCTCTTACTATGCTCATCTGTTTAAAAACCTGAAACATCGGTCATTGGTACACACAGCCCGGGAAAAGGAGGTAAATCAGAGATAGACTCCGTTTTGCCTCTCTGAGTCATCCTGTCCAGGAAGATGGTGGCTATGCCGGACTCTCACGGTCACTGCCGCGGCGCTGGGTGCCAGCGGACAGTCTGGGGGGGCCAGAGCGTCGGCCCTCTGGATGGGACTGGCCGGGACGCGCGCGCTCTGTCTTTGTACGGCCTGTCTGGGGAGAAGTTTGGCTCCTAACCAGACGCACGCCAGCTTTTGTGCACCCAGCTGAGGGGACAGCTTGATTCCACGAAGCTGGCTTTCTGAGGGGGCAGTGGTGGAATTTGACAGACCTTCGAGGTGGCTCTGCTTGTGGCTCTTACAGTGAGAGTTTGTCTCTAGAGAAGAAACACAAGCACTACTTGGGAATGACGTGGTGTTATTTTGGTTCCTTTGTGGCCCTTCCTCTGGTAAGATGTTCTCCAACTGCAGTAAGCAGTCCGTCTACAAGACCATCGAGAGTAAGGCCCAGGAGTGTTTTCAAGAGCGAAGCAACAAGGTGTGTGGGAACTCCAGGGTGGACGAAGGAGAGGAGTGCGACCCTGGCATCATGTACCTGAACAACGACACGTGCTGTAGCAGCGACTGCATGCTGAGGGCCGGCGTGCAGTGCAGGTGAGCGCGGGCAGCGGTCACGCGGGGGGGTGGGGAGGCTCACGGGCGCGTGTGTGTCCTTTTCTCCTTAACAGCAAGGAAACTGCTTTCTGGGAAGCAGTGTGACTTTATGTCACAAAATCTCTAATCTTGTAGACTTTTTGATTCAGGATCCCATAGCTCAAAGAGTCTTTTTTAAGGAAACGAGAGAGGTGATTAAATGAGAATGTTCACAGCTGCATTCTTCTTCTTCTTTTTTTTTTTTTTTAAGATTTTATTTATTTGACAGAGACAGAGTGAGAGAGGGAACACAAGCAGGGGGAGCGGGAGAGGGAGAAGCAGGCTTCCCGCTGAGCAGGAAGCCCGATGCAGGGCTTGATCCCAGCACCCTGGGAACATGACCTGAGCCAAAGGCAGACACTTAACAACTGAGCCACCCAGGTGCCCTGCTGCATTATTTTAGAGTAACAAGATATTAGGCCCAGGCGACAGTCCTGAGATCTAAATTGTTGTGTTTCTATGCAATAAAACCGTGTGGAAGACTATGTTCAGTGGCATACACTAAATGCAGAGGAAGCAGGTCACAAATGAGAAGGTACCAGTGTTTGCGCGTTGCGGACTGGTGCCTGGCTTAGCGTAGAGGAGGAACCTCGAGTTGATGGTGAGTAGCAGATGTGAACGATGTGTGGTGCTACTGTCGGTGGAAATCCTGATGGAACTCTGATTCCGGCTGCCTCGTTTCCTCCCCATTGATGGCCTTGCAGGCATAGGTCTTCCTTTTTTTAAACTACTGTATCAAGTTAACGAAAACCAGGGACACCAAGATGTTCCAAGGATGAGTCCCCTCGGACCTCTCCGCGCTCCTGCTTGATGGCCCCGCAGGAAGGGCAGACAGTGTGTGCAGGCGGCCGGCGCCCGGGAGGCCGACTTTGCAGGATCGGGCGGCCCAGCCGAGGGGCCTTCCCCGCCGTCTGCAGGGCCCCCTGACATGACCGTAGTGTTTGCTGTGGGGCTGACTTTGACTGGAACTGTACCTGTCTGCTCTGCCTCTGCAGTGATAGGAACAGTCCTTGCTGTAAAAACTGTCAGTTCGAGACTGCCCAGAAGAAGTGCCAAGAGGCGATCAATGCTACTTGCAAAGGCGTGTCTTACTGCACAGGTGAGTCCTTTTGCTGGTTCTCTTGGGATGCTTTTGCTCAGGTGAGCATGTGTATGTTTGAAACAACACTGTATTTTGTTCAGATGAAAACAGCCTTTAGAATCGTACTCCTCCGTTTGAGATGCACTTACCAGTGGTCAGCGCCAGACCCGTTGTGCTTGCTTTCTTATTTTGTCCGCTTCATTCCCATCACCTCCTTCCTCTCACGGGCGTCTAATATTTGCCTGGGTATGTGTATTTCCTTGGAAGATAATATCGTGTTAGTTTGTGTATATATGTGTTTTTAACATGCCAGGATAATACTCCGCTTTCGATCTTTTTCTAAACTCAATGCCAGTTTTTATGAAGTATCCCTGTCATGCCGTCTGTGGTGTGTGTATCTGTGTCTGTACATGGTCATTGTTCGGACCCCTGCTGAGTTTACTTGTGTGCTGTAGTGTATGGTACTCGCCTGTTCACTAAGTGACGGCTTGGACTGCCTTCATCTTGGTGCCGCCGATAGGAGTTCAACAGATGTCTCCCACCTGTCTCCCAGGTGTTGTAAGGGTTTTCTGGCTGCATGTGGGGGAACAGAGTTGCTTGGTCATAGGAAGTGGCCCCGTGTTGATCTCTCTAGAACAGTCATGATGCACCTGTAGTGTATGTGGATTCCTGCGTCCCCGTGTCCTCATCAACCCTTGCTGTTACTCAGATGGTCTTCTGTTTTTTGCCAATCTGATGAGTATAAAGTGATCTCTCATCCATATTTGCATGTTTCTTGAAGGTACCTGTGTCTCCTTTTATCTGTTAGCTATGCAAAGTTTTCCTTTTGTCAATAGCCAGTTCATATATTTGGTTCTTTTTAAAATTTTTTTAAAGTATTCCTCATGCCCAACCTGGGGCTTGAACTCACAACCCTGAGGTTAAGAGTTGCGTGTTCTGGGGCACTTAAGCAGTCCAGCTCTTGGTTTTGGCTCAGGTCACAGTCTCTGGGTTGTGGAATCAAGACCCACGTTGGGCTCTGTGCTCAGCAGGAATTCTGAGATTCTCTCCCTCTCCCTTTGCCCCTTTCCCTGATCACCTTTTGTGAGCTCTTGCTCTCTTTTTCTATTAAATAAACCTAAAAAGTCGCATGCTCTAATAACTGAGACATCAGGGTGCCCCTATATGGTTCATTTTTAAAAATTTGGGTTTCATGTCTTTTTGATATTGTTGACTTAGAGGAGTCATTGTATGATAATTTGATTGGTTTATAAGTTGCATATACCTTCATCCTATTTGTTGTCCATCTCGGAACAGAAACTTTAATTTTTCTTTTTAAAGGTTTTATTTTTATGTATTTGTCAGAGAGAACAAGTAGAGGGAGCAGCAGGCAGAGGGAGAAGCAGACTCCCTGCTGAGCAGAGAGCCCGATGTGGGGCTCCATCCCAGGACCCTGGGATCATGACCTGAGCCGAAGGCAGATGCTTAACCCGCTGAGCCCCCCAGGTGCCCTGTTCACCCATTTAAAGTGTACAGTTAGTGGTTTTTAAGGTGTTCGCATTCGTGCACCTGCCAGCAGTCAGTGTCAGAACGTTTCCATCACCTTAAAGAGAAACCTGTGTCCCGTAGCCATCACTGAATGTCCTCATTCCCCGCCAGCCCCAGAAAACCAGTGATCTTTTTGTCTCTGTGTATTTGCCTGTTCTGGACATTTCATATAAGCAGAATCCTACAACACATGGCCCTTTGCAGCTGTCTTCTTTCATTCGGAATCAGGTTTTTGGGACTCCTTGTGTCATAGCATGAAGCCGTCATCGTCTGTCCTTGTCGCTGAGGGATCGCCATTGTGTTCGTCTGTCCCGCATTTTGTTACATTCGTTCACCAGTTGATGCGCTTTGGGATTATTTCCACTTTCTGATGATGACTAACACCGCTGTGGATATTTCTGTACAAGATTTTGTGTGGTTGCGTGTCTGTCGTTCCCCAGTCGAGACCCAGGAGCAGAGTCGCTGGGTTGGATGGTAGCCGTACCCTCGTTTGAGGAGCCTCAGGGCTGTCGCGCTAGCAGTGTGCGGTGTCACGTTCCCGCCTGCGGCATCGGTGGCTTCCTGTGCGTCCACGGCCTCAGCTCCACTGGTTATCTTTTTGGTTCTCACCTTCCTAGCGAAGCTCTGTGTCAGTTTGGTTTTTCCTTTTCCTTTCCTTTTTTTTTTTTTTTTAAGATTTTATTTATTCGATGAGGGGGGAACACAAGCAGGGGCAGTGGGAGAGGGAGAAGCAGGCTTCCCATTGAGTGGGGAGCCCGATGCGGGGCTCGATCCCAGGACCCCAGGATCATGACCCGAGCCGAAGGCAGATGCTTAACAACTGAGCCACCCAGGCGCCCCTCCTTTGCCTTTTCAACGTGCATTTTATAAGACGCCACTCATGCCTCCTACGTTCTGAGACCTGTCAGCACGGCTGCAGTTTGCCAGTTGTCAGGAGCTGGAACGGCTCAGGCAAGCTTCTCACGAACATTCTCTAGCTACGCTCAGTATGTCAGCCTTGGTTTTAGTAATAAAGCAGATTCAGAAAAATTCTTTTTAAATAAGCATTATCAAAGCAATTTGAAAAAATTTATTCGTTCTTATCGAATAGCCTTTCTTTCCCTCGCTATTTTCTATGAAGGAGCAGCTAGCAGAATATTAACTCCTTATAAAGACCCCGCGTTCACCACCAGCAACGTCCGCATCACCTGGGACCTTGCTCGAAGTGGACGTTGTTGGTCCCTCTGCCGCCTTCCCCCAGGCCCAGGGCCCCAGCGGCTCTGAGGACAGGTGCAGTGACCTGTGCCACCTGCTCCGTCTACCCGTGGGTTCCGATGCACCCAGAGTCTCGGGAGCCTGGAGACTAGGTGGCTCTGTGTGTTTAATGCTTGTCCTCTGCATCTGGTGCCCTGACGTTAGTGCTGAGAACGCGTGTGCAGCGGATACTTGTGGGACATTTTGCACGTGTGTGTTCAGGGCAGCAGCACGCACTGAAAATACCGGGGAATGCGGTCTCCCCGTCACTGACATGCTACCCTGTCCCCATGGCCTCCTTTCAGCAGCCGCACACTTGTTACATGCCCATCCTATTGACCCCGAGTGCCCAGCAGCATAAACGGTTTCGTCAGACCAGAGGCACAGGTGATGTGCCCGTGTCAGTGTATATCGGGTACTTCGTGGAGGGCTTCTTTTGTTTGAGACAGGACAGGTTTCTCTGAGTTTCCCGATACCACTCCACTGACTTTCAAGTCCTGAGTTCTTTCGGACTCCGGGCTTTGGTCCCATTTGTCAGGGGAAGGGCCAGGCCTCTGGCTCTGGCCACCATCCGCCGTCCGCATGCGGTAGTTCTCTTCTTGCGGTCATGTTTAACTGCCTGTGCTGCTCGCTTTCCAGAAAGAGCCCCTCACTCCATCCTCTCACTTGAATTTAACATCCTTCTGTGGCTTTTCTTTTGTCCGGAAGAATCATTGATTCACTTAAGAAATACTTGTGGGGTACTTACGGCGTGTGATAGATTAGACGAAGTTGATTTATTCCTAGTTTTGATCTTTGCTTTCGTGGAGCTCACCAGTCTGAACCGAAACCTCATCCTCACATAGACATAAATTGAGGGGTGCCTGGGTGGCTCAGTCAGTTGAGTGCCTGACTCTTGATTTCAGCTCAGGTCATTTTATTTCTTTATTATTTATTTGACAGAGAGAGCGAGCAAGCGAGCACACAAGCAGAGGGAGCGAGAGAGGGAGAAGCAGGCTCCCTGCTGAGCAAGGAGCCCAGTGCGGGGCTTGATCTTAGGACTCTGGGACCATGACCTGAATTGAAGGCGGACGCTTAGCCGACTGAACCACCCTGGTGTGCCCTTCAGCTCAGGTCTTGATCTCAGGGTCATGGGTTCGAGCCCTACTTTGGGTTCCCCACTGGGTGTGGCGCCTACTTAAAAAAAAAGCCATAAGTTGCAAAACGTGCGCTTGAAGGAGAGAAGCAGCTGTAGGGATGGAAGCACTGGGTGAACGTAGGGCCGCGGGAGGTCTGAGGGAGGTCTTGGAGCCAGATCTAAGGGTGAGAAAAAGCCAGCCAGTGCCCTCCAGGGCAGAAACGAGAACATTCCGGGTAGACTGAACCGCGTATGTTATGGTTCCGAGGGAGAGACCTTGGAGAGGGGAAGACACTGGACGCCGGCTGAGGGCTCAGGAGTGGCCGCCGGTGAGGTAGGAGGAGCCCGGCCGGCCGCTGCCGCGAGCCTCCCGCAGAGCTTGCTTCTCAGGCCGGTGGCGGCCGTGACGTTTGCTCCGTGGTGCGTCGGTGCTCCTGTGTGTGTCCCGTTATCTGTAGTTACGTTGCACAGAGGAAAGGTAAAAGCAAGATGTTAAATAGTGGCTGAGGGGCGGGGCGGGAGCGCGGACGTGCACCGCGGGGCTGGGCGCAGCCAGGCACTCTGAGCTGGCGGCCGCTGGGCCCGGGCCGCTGGCGTCCTGTCCCCGGGCCACTTTGTGCCCTTCGTGAAGCACGGTGCCAACTTCTGTGGGCACCCGAGGCCTGCTTCTGCCGCGTGACTCACGGCGACCTGTGTGCTTCCCGCGTGCTTGCAGGTGACAGCAGCGAGTGCCCCCCGCCCGGCAACGCCGCGGACGACACGGTGTGCCTGGATCTCGGCAAGTGTAAAGACGGGAAGTGCGTCCCCTTCTGTGAGCGGGAGCAGCAGCGGGAGTCCTGCGCGTGTAACGGTGAGCACACGTCCGTGCCGTGTCCTTGCAGCCGTGTCCTTGCAGCCGGAGTGGAGCCAGTCATGCCTGCCGGGCCCGTCCCTCCCTCCGGGGGCCTGGCAGTCCCTGCTGGGCCGGGGTGGCGGTGAGATCCCAGCCGGGGGCGGTGCAGGGCAACGGGGTCTGGGGGCGCCCTCCAGCTCCGCATCCGGTCCACTGACTTGTCCGTGAATGCCCGCCTGTTGGTCGTCCTTCCTGCTCCACGTTCAGACCAAGTGGCAGGCTTAGGGGTGGGAGAGGAGGAAGCGGTGCGGGTGAGCGGGTGGGTGGAGGAGTGTCCTCGCTGCGCCCTGCCGCCACGTGGTACCCTGCGTGAGCACAGCAGGAGTCCACTGCGGCCACCGGCTGGGGACTCCTGCTCCTCGGGACTTCAGCCAGAGGGAGCTGGTCCCAGGGTCTGACCCTGCCCGTTAGGGTGTTTGCTCTCGTCACCAGGGCTGAGCCTGCTGCCTTCTGCTGCCTGCCTGATGTCTGGGGCAGGGGCCTCGCTTAGCGATGGTTGGCGACATCACGCTGGCTTCTCAGACGCTTGTCCTCAGGTTTCCACCTTCTATTTTTGGAACTCCCGAGTCTGAGAAGGGACCGACTGGGCTCCAGGCTTCCTGCCCTGCCTCACCTCAGGAGGCTTCTGTTGCTTTCAAAACCATGCAGAAGTCGGAGCCAGTGGGTTGGGAACCCCCAGGCGCACGGTGCAGGGAGCGGCTCTTCTGGGGGAGCAGCAGTAAATACGGAGGATGACACACGGTAGATTCCAAGCCAGTCATTTCCTGAGGGAGCGGCAGGGGGCCTGGGATGCCTGGAGAGACCCACAGTAAGCACCCAGGAAATGCTTGACCACTGGACGAATGATGGAAATGTCTCCTTTCCCATTCGAGCGCTTTTGCTGGGTTTTGTGTTCTAGTTGATTCCAGGTTCTCCCACGTAAGTGACCAGGGAGTCCTCTGGGTCACATACTGTTCCGAGTTGCGTTGTCAGTTGACATTTTGGCCATTTCTGTTGTTGGTGTGTGTGCCACATGGCCTATGTGGTGCCTAGTTGGTTCCGTGACCCACATGCTGTGGGCGGTAGGTGTAGACGGAGGTTCAGCCCCTGCGCTCACGTCACCCCGTGGCTCCCTGAGGCCCGCACCCGGCTCTTGTGTCACAGTGGTACTGGCTCTCACTGGAGCCTTGGTTCTCCCGGGGTGTATTTGAAACGGCGACACCAAGGGTTGAAGTCGGCGGTGTAACAAGAATGTTGGGATGAAGAGAAACGTTGAGAATCATAAGGGATCTGAAGAAGAATCATTCGGCTTTTATTCCGTTAAGGGAGGCTCTTTGGTGTAAATTGTCCTTGTCTTGTGGCCTGAGGACTGAGGAGCCTGAACTCAGAAGTTAGTCTTGGGGGGTGCACGAAGGCTAGTTTGCTGTTGAAAAATAAAGGCATTTCCTTCTCCGTGGGGAGCGGGGTGGGGAGGAGAGGAGGGAAGGAGGAACGAGGCTGCAGTCCGGCTGTCCATATGCTCCCTGGTTCTGTTCCAGAAACTGACAACTCGTGCAAGGTGTGCTGCAGGGACCCCTCGGGCCGGTGTGTGCCCTACGTTGACGCTGAACAGAAGAATTTATTCTTGAGGAAAGGGAAGCCCTGTACGGTGGGCTTCTGTGACATGAATGTGAGTATTTACTTCCATACAGCTTTTTCTGTGACAGCCAGACGGGCAGTTTTGATACTATGAGGACTTGATTTTGCCAGGGGAGAGAGTCCTGCCGTGCCTTTGTCACCCACTGCCTGCTCTCGTCTGTCTGGAGCAGGCTGTGGGGATAACGCAAGGTGAGGCGCCAGGTGCTCTCGGGGAGCTGGAGCACGCTCTGTCCCGAGCAGGGGACCCTGAATCCAGTGACTGCGGCGGAGGGAGCTTTTCTAGTAGAGTCGGCTTGTTTTAGGCAGTGTGTGTTAATGACTTGGTTTTCTAGATTAATTATAAAATTGACTAAGATTGTGAAATTGCAAGTTTTGATTTAAAACCAGTGCTGATAGAGGAAAGACCCAGAGGTGGCTTGACGCACCTGCATCAGGCCCTCTTAGCCTCCAGTGAAACACATTTCATTCCCCTGGAGTCACAGGCGTGGATTTAAAGGGGTTAGGCTGGCTTCCCAGGCAGTCTGGTTAGGTTCCTCTTGGTGCGTGTGCGGCGCGCGCACGGGTGTGGTCAGTGCAGCCCTTGCTAGAGGGCCTGTCTTAAACAAAATTGGTTTTCTCAAGTTTCGTTTCCTGGGAATTCTAAATTCACTTATAAAAATGGGCTGATTGTGGAAGTGGAAGTGACAAGTGTCTCCTGCTGCGTTAGGTCCCTGTGTCCAAAACTGGGCCCCTGCAGCTGTGATTTCCTGAAGCCTTTCATGTCCATCCCTTGTACCCAGCCGCGCCGCTCCTGACGCAGTCCTTTTCGGGCACTGCTGTGTTCTGTGTTCACAGGGCAAGTGTGAGAAGCGAGTACAGGACGTCATCGAGCGGTTTTGGGACTTCATCGACCAGCTGAGCATCAATACTTTTGGTAGGTGATTTCCCCAGTGGCTCTTTGCTTGGAAGTGAGCAGAGTTTGGTGATGACCTGAGGAAAGTATGCTTTTGGGTTACTACGTCGGATCCTGAAGCAGATGGAAATATTCACGGTGTTCGCTGGCGCAGCTTTGTCAGCTGAGATGAAGCACACACCCGGCTCTCCCGCCGCGTCGTGCAGATGCGCAGGTTTTCAGACAAGGGAAGGCCACACGTTTTCGAAATTCTGGCGTCTTTAAGAAGTGGACACTGGAACTGTAAGCCTGGTTCAGTCCTGCAGGTTGTAAATCTGAATCCGGTTTCATGGGAGCCTCAGGACAGACCAAAAGTGGGCCTCGGGTTTTGCAGAAGCAGCAACGTATTCTGTCTTGCAGGGTCGGAATTCATTGTCAGAAAAATAGTACCCGGATGACAGTGACTTTGTCCTGTCACGCATCGTCGCGAGCAGTAGCCTCCTGTGTGCTTGGTCCCTGACACCGTCACTCAGGGATCGTGTTGAGCACTGTGTGATGCGGTCTGTCCTGCACGAGGGTCTCAGGGCTCTGTCTGGAGGAGTGTCCGTAGCTCAGGGGATGGTGCGGGCTGGCACAGGGGACACTGACGCCTCTTGGGCTGCCTCGGTAGTACTACCTGGCCGGCAGTCTGTCTCATTTGGCACCATGGTAATATACTAAGAGCATTTAATTTTGTGTCTAAAGTACTTGATCAGAACACTGACTGTTTGGAATTGTTCACAGGGAAGTTTTTAGCGGACAACATCGTAGGTTCCGTCCTGGTTTTCTCCTTGATATTTTGGATCCCCTTCAGCATTCTTGTCCATTGCGTGGTAAGTCACCAACTTGTAGGTAATGAGACATTTTATTAGAATTTTGAGCAATTGCATCTTACAACTTTTGGAAAAGATAAAATTGGTTCTTCGCAAGATCTGACCTGATGTTTCCAGTGACATTTTTTGGTGTTATTCCCTGGGAAAGCTTATTTTGTGAGAAGTTTAGCTAATCGTTTTTTAAAAAGAATTATGCTTTTTGTATGTGGATATATGTTCTCGTGTGTAATTGGAGGAATGTTATACTTCTGAGCCCGGGAGACTGTTTCACTGCACTTGCCTAGGGCCTCCTAGTGAAGCTTTGAAATAAGAGCGTTTCAGGCTTTGTTAGAGCAAATAGCAAACCTCAGCACACCGCAGACGCGCCCCTCTACCAAGTGGTTTCCTGTTTGCTTTATTGCTTCGGGTGTTCACATCCCCCCGTCTGGTAAGAGGGAGCAATCTTTATTATCTTCCTTCGAAACGAGTAACCGCTAACAAGGTGCATTGGGCTTTCCCCCGTGAACTCCTTGTGATTCATCAACTTGGAGACTTTAAACAACTCTTACAACTTCATTCACCTGGCTTCTGTGGGAAAAAGATGATTTGTCTGCTGTCGAGACGAGAAATCAGATCCAGGCTTGCAGACTTGTGCTCTGGAACTCTCGGGCACGCCTCCTCACGTGAGCGCTTGGAACATTCGGGCGCAGCTGCGTCATGAGGTGTTACTCCTCTGCTCCGCTCCGGTCTTGCCGGGGCCTCCCTGAGCCGCTCTTCCTCGGTGGTGCGCGTGGTGGGCGTGGGGAGGGAGAGCTCGGGAGCAGCCGAGAATGGCGCCCCCACCACTCCCCCGTTACCGTTGTTTGACGAGGTCAGTCTGCTTTGTTTGCCTTGAGAGTTGCCGCTGTGCACCGAGGCCGGACGCTGGGTCTTGGAGCAAAGCCACTAGATAGGTGGAGGCTGGTGCCTGGTCGCTGACCACGGAATGTGTGGGGGCAGCTGGGCTGGAAGCCAGGCCTAGATTTCCGGGCTCCGCGTCCTGCCTTGCCCGCTGTCATCTGTTCCAGCCGGGCAGGCGCGGGGCGGCAGCTGGAGCCGTGTGTGCAGCGGGCGCTTCGGGCTCAGTTCCTCTAAGAATTTGGGCCACAGTGAACTCTGGGAACAGCTGAGTGTTGAGGCGGGGCGGGCTGGGGCATTCGGAGGCCAGTACCAGGTGGGCGAGCCCGCAGCGTCCCTAACCCCCGGCAGCTGGCCCCACGGTCAGCAGTGCCCTGGTGTGACCCCTGCCCTCAGGGACCTGCCTCTGGGGAACTCTCCCAGAAGAACTATACTTAAGCGTTTCTTGACTAGTTGCTTACTTGACATCCAAACACTGATGGCCCCAAGGGCAAAGGAAGCACTTCCGGGCTGGTGGCAGAACTCACAAAGTTGATGTAAGAAATTCTTTTCACTGGGGCGCCTGGGTGGCTCAGTGGGTTGAGCGTCTGCCTTCGGCTCAGGTCATGATCGCGGGGTCCCAGGATCGAGTCCCACATCCGGCTCTCTGCTCAGCGGGGAGCCTGCTTCTCCCTCTGCCCCTCACCTTGCTTGTGCTTCCTCACTCTTTCAAATACATCAGTCTTAGAAAAAATTCTTCTCATCGACTGGCCCTGCTGACACTCGGCGCACTCGTGTTCTGAGGCAGTTCATCGCTTAAGGATGACCTTTCCCTCCTCGTTTTCCTCCTAGGATAAGAAACTGGACAAGCAGTACGAGTCCCTGTCCCTGTTCCACCCCAGCGTAAGTACCCGCGGGCCAGTCCCGCAGGCGCGCGGGGCCCTGCTGGAGCCAGGGCTGCCCGTTGGCCGCCCCAGCGAGGGCCTGTGGCCTCTGCCGCCGCGCGTCTCTGCCTGTGGGACGTCCTGCGGCGGCGGGAAGGGTCCAGGCTGGAGCCGCCCTTAGTGGCGCGAGGGAGGCAGAGCCGGGAGGGAGGCTGCACCCGCCCCGGCCGGGACTTAGCTGTTCAGCACTGACCTGGTTTAACGTTTTGACTTTCCCTGTCCTGAGACCCTGACTTGAGGATTGTTTCTTGAGCGCTCTTTTGGGACTCCGATGGCCAGTTGTAGGACATGTGGAAGGTGGGGGAGCCTCACCTCTGGCTTTGCTTAGCGGGAGGGGTCACTGTGCCCGAGGGGACAGCCACGTGTCGGGGGCGGGGGGAGCTGTGGGACCTGGGTCGGTCTCTGACTCCGGCTCTTCGCAGAACGTGGAGATGCTGAGCAGCATGGACTCCGCCTCGGTGCGCATCATCAAGCCCTTCCCCGCGCCCCAGACGCCCGGCCGCCCGCAGCCCCTGCAGCCCCTGCAGGTCGCCTCCGCGCCGCCGCTGCCCCCCGCCGCCCCCAAACTGGAGCCCCAGAGAATGGACACGATCCAGGAGGACCCCAGCACGGACTCGCACGCGGACGAGGACGGCTTCGAGAAGGACCCCTTCCCCAACAGCGGCACCGCCGCCAAGTCCTTCGAGGACCTCACCGGCCGTCCGGTGCCGCGAAGCGAGAAGGCCGCCTCGTTCAAGCTGCAGCGGCAGAACCGCGTGGGCAGCAAGGAGACCGAGTGCTAGGCCGCGGCTCCCGGCACGGGGCCGCGGCCGGCAGACTGGGGAGCCCCGCGTCCGTGCTTCGAGGGTCGGCGGGGGACGAAGGGACCGCGCAGCAGAGGCCGGTCGCGGGTCTGGACCCGTCACACTCGGGAATTGCTTGTGTGCCGAGGCCCCTGTCTTTTGGGAGAGGTGAGGTGAATCTGGCTTATTTTGAGGCTTTCAGGTTTTAGTTTTTTTTTTTTTGGTTTTTAAAATACCCTTCAACCTGTGGTGCAGAAGCAGAAAATACAGCTGGATTAGGTTATGAATATTTACATTTTTGTAAATTTACCTTTGTACTGAGAACAGCACTGGTTAAGGAGATCAGTTTTTGGGGGGTTTTTTGGTTTTTTTTTTTTTAATACACTGTAATGATCCGCTGACTCTTGGGAGGCATTTAGCAGTTACTTGTGAGGACAACTGGAACACAGATTTTATTTTTTGCCTTCAGTAAAGATAAAGGAGAGAAAACAGAGTTATACGTTCTTTCTCAACTGTGGGCTCTGTTTTTAGGCATTCCCCAGAGCTTTTAGCAGCAGGGAGAACCACCCAGCTTCCTCCTAAAGATAGATGTGTGAACATGGTTTCCCAAATTCTGAGGTTAGCACTTTCTAGAATTAAAAGTCTAGCTTACAAGTAGCCAAACTGAATGTACAGACTCCTGCCAACTGTTCAGGGCCCCAGTTCGCCGGGAAGTTTGTTTTCTAAGTCTGTCTGGTGCCGCTGCCGCACTTACGAGCGCCATTCACAAAACCTGAACGGCTTCGAAACGAGAGCGTGGTTTCCTCTTTGCCAACACTAGTGGCCACGAGGAACGTGAGCTGGTTCTCATGAGAGAACAGTGGCCGTGAAAGGCTGAGTTGCCGCGCTGAGCAGGGAGGGCCCGCTGCTTCCCTCGGGCCTGCGCCCTTCCGCCGCCACAGCTGGCTCCTGCGCACCCCCAGTGGTGACCGCAGGGGACACTGCGTTACTTCCTGCTTTAGTGCTTCAGGGCTGTGTGCGTTTACTTTGTGAAGGATAGAAATCATCAAATTGAACTCTGATTTCCTTAAAATTAAGAGATAAAGCTCCCCTTCCCCCCGTACTGAAATGTGCTCACAGCCAACACATTCTAACAGAGATAATTTGTAAATTTTGAGGGCAATTAACTGAACCTGTGACAAATCAGATCTTTTCTTCTAAGGACGTTCCTTACGCGGATGCCTGTTACACTAATACTTGAACTGATACCTTGTGGTGTTTGCTGTCTTAACTAGTCGTCATATAGTTTAGTCGCGCTCCCGGAATCTGAGAGGTGAGTGGGTGTATGTGAGAGTGAACGGTTCCCAGCTCCATGTAAGAAAATCATTTTTTATAAAATTAAGACTTTTTAAACAAATTTTGTCTTTACTTTTTTTCCATGTGTATGGTTAGCAGGCGGCCCAGGGTTGCTTCCGTAGCTGAGGCACTGAGGACGCCCGCCTCAGGCGGCTGTCACCACAACACAGCACACCAAGGGGCAGAGCTGCCCTAAAAATTCTAAGGCTTTTATTGATCTTGGTGGCAGAGGTTCCATATTCCAAGGTCACGAGCAAAGGTCTGATCACCCATCCTGGGATCTCTGTGGCGCTGTCCGGGCAGACTGGCTTTTCTGCGGCTAATGGTCCCCGTCTCCCAGGAGACTCCGTTCCGGCTGGGCTTCCGCTATGTCCCGCCAGTACGGGAGCAGCAAGGGCAAAGAGGAGACTCTCTTCTCCAGGAGAGGCCAGAGGTGAGAGAACAGAAACTCATTTCCCTTTGGCGACAAGTGCAGCCCGTCGGACAGGTAGGATGAGAAGTCCTGCAAGGAAGAGGGAAGTTAACCGCGGGGGGCCCGCTGCTCCCCAGCCCTTCGTGGGCAGCAGGCTCACTGTCCTGTGCACACTGAGCTCCGTGACCCGCGGGCTGTGCAGTGCCCGCGCCCCCCCGCCCCGAACCATTGGTGCCCTAATGTCAAAAACACGACCTGCTGTTAGGAGCGCTCGGGGTCTGGGGGCCCTAGTCCCGGGGGCAGGTTTCCAGGCGGAAGGAGCTTGTCCCCCCAGGCCCGAGCAGGAGCCACTGCTCCGGGGAGCAGGCTTTGCCCCAAACCCACCCCCGGCCCTGCTGGCGCCGGCTGGGCCACAGCTCCCCCAGACCAGCGCTTCCCCAGGCCTCAGTGCCCCCTCTTACATTTTGGAGAGCTCAGGGAAGCCCCCCTCCCACCCCACTCTAGAAAATCTCGACGGACTTTGTAAGAGCCCCTCACGGCAGTGCACCGTTCCCCCCACCCGGAGCAGGACAGCCCTCCCGGACCTCCTGGATGGACGTTTAGCCCAGACGAAGCCAGGACTCGGGCTGCTGCCCCGGCTGCTCCCGGCCCGCGACACCACAAGCGGGCCAGGCCCAGTCGAGGTCTGGGAGGAGGCCTGGAGGCCAAGTGCTGGCCTCATAAGGGAAACGCCCAGCACAGCAGCTGCTGGGTCCTGGGGACACTGGATGCGGAGAAGCGTCCGACTGCCCTCCTGGGGCTGTGCTGCTCTGGGGCCGGCTTTCGCCTCTGATGGTTGCGAGTGCGCTTTCCGGCTTCAGGCAAAAGATTTAGAACCACCGACCTCCACCTGTGATTTTAGCCCCCCACCCCTGGCCTGCGTCGTCATTTTACCTTTTAATGAGTTTTATAACGGGGTGGGGGTACTACAATAATTTGGCCGGCATGTCCTTAAATGAGAACCATTTCTGGCTCCTTTATTTCACTCTGCGCTCACGCCGGACTGTCCCGGAGGACGCCAGCCGCCGGCCGCAGCCAAGGAACCGGGCTGGGCGGGGGCCCCCAAGCCCGGCTTTCTGGCTTAAGAGGTCACAGCGACAAGGGTTGTGCCTCCTCAGAGCGGGGTCCCGTCTGCGGGCTTGTGCTCACCCGGAGGCCCGAGCCAGCCACGCACCTGAGTGTCCTTCTGCATCAGGGTCCACAGGTCCAGCACGTCGACCCCGCAGTCCTGGGCTACCTGTACGCAGGCGCCCGCGTATTCGCCAACAACCGAGTTCAGACGATTTAATTTGCAGCCTGTTGAGAGCGAGCGCGTGGGTGGCAGCCGGCCCTCTGCCGGCCCCGCTGACCCGGATGCCTCTCCGGGCACGGCCACGGCACGCACCGACGGCCCCGACTGGGGGAGGATGGTCCCCGCATGCTGTGTTACCTGACGCGGGACCAAGGGCTGTGGGGACAAGGGAGCCATGGCTGGTCCCTGCAGGGGACGCGGACCGGAAGTCAGAGGCAGGAGAGGCCTGCGGCTGGAACGGAGGCCAGAGGCGGCCAGAGGGGGGACGGAGGCCAGCAAGGGGGGCGCCGGGCCGAGACCCTAAGTTTGGGTATGTGAGGAGAGACCCCGGCACTGGTGTGAAGCTCGCTGGGGTTCAGCCAGAGAAGGGCAGAGTGGGGAGGGGCTGTGGACACGTCTGCAGAGGGCTGGGCTGTGACTGTTGGGGACTGTGCGGGCGGCTCCCTCTCGCCCTCGCTCAGAGGCCACTGTGGCCAGGAGGACGCCTATGGGCCTGTCTTCGGGGGAACTTGCTCGTAGCCTGTGGCTCAAAGCCCAGCTGGCGAACCTCTGCGGTCCTCCCAGGCCTCCAGCCGCATCTACGGGAGTGGAACGGGTCTCACAGAGCGAGGCCGACTATGTCCTAGATGCGGACTTTTTTCTGTTCTGCTCAAAAAATGTCACTCGCGGGGGCGCCTGGGTGGCTCAGTGGGTTAAAGCTTCTGCCTTCGGCTCAGGTCATGATCCCAGGGTCCTGGGATCGAGCCCCGCATTGGGCTCTCTGCTCGGCAGGGAGCCTGCTTCTCTCTGACTCTCTGCCTACTTGTGATCTCTGTCAAATAAATTTTAAACAAAAAAAAAAAAAAGAAAAAATGTCACTCGCCCGGTTTTGGGACCCACGGATGGGTTGCGACCGGCAGTCTGAGAAGGGCTGACGTCGCTCTAACTGGCGGCCTGCCGGTCCAGGCTTAGCACGAACTGCCTGCAGGACGGACTCGCCGGCTCCCAAACCATCGAGGACGGCCGCTGGGGGTCCCCACTCTGGCCCCTTCCTCCCTTTCTGTCCTCTTCTTAGGGCAAACTTGCCCTATTTACCTCCTTTGGGGAACTTTCTGGACATCTCTAGATTCTGCTTCCGCACTTGGAACAGACGGTTTCCCGCCCGTCAGAGCCACTCACTGCCGCCCGCCCTGCGGCAACAGGCAGGGGCCGGATCCGGTCACTTCTGGGTCCGGAGCACCCAGCCAGGTCCTGACTTGGTACCTAGAGGTACCAAGACGAGCAGTGGTGGGGACACAAGCGCCTCCGGGTGCGGCAGGAGAGCCACACACGGTCCCCCTACCCCGGGAGGACAACAGCGCCTGCCCGTGCCCGCGAGCGCACAGAGCCGCCTTGGTCCGGGCGCAGGAGCGGTCCCACTGCCAAGGGCGGGGGCACAGGCGAGGCGGCAGAAGGGGCCACGTTCACACACAAATGAGCAAAGCAGCGGCTGCGAAGTCCAGAGGCCACCCTGCGTGGGGACATCGGGGTTCAGCGCCGCCGCAGGCTCTTGGCCACGCGTGCACGTGGGCTCCGGCGGGACCAGGTCGGGCCCTGCGGCCCCGGTGACGACGCCTCAGCGAGACTCGCGGCAGCTGCGGCCTGAGCCGGGGACCCCCCCGCCCCCCGCCGCCACCGCGGCGCTCACCCTGCAGCAGGCACTCCTGCTCCCACGCGGCCTCACAGAGCGGGGGCGGCGTGACGAGGACGACGCGGCTCGCGGGCACGCCGGCGGCAGACAGCTGTCGCACCATGGTGTGCAGGTTCGCCGCGTACTCGGCCAGCGGGACGTGCTGCTTGGGGTTCTCGTCTGTGGGGGGGGGGGGACACACACACGGACACTGCACATGCGCGCCTGCTCCAAGTGACCGCAGTGAAGGTGGAGATGGGGTCACAGATCCTGGGACTCCTGACGTTGCTGGTTTGGCACAAGGACAGAAACCGGGGCGGGGAGTGGCTCTTCAAGCCGTGGACCCCCGGACCCCCGAGGCCCTGGCTGGGGGCCCTGCTCAGTCTCTCTGTGCTCGCATCTCACGGGTCACACGAGGGGGAGAACTGGGTCCCCCCGACGGGGCCGTGGAAACGAGCTCCGCGAAGCGCGTGGTGCACCGGAGCAGGGGCCGCGCGCTCACTGGACACGCGGCCGCTGTCGCTGTCGAGTCCACTGTTTGGGCCGCGCAGGCTCACTGCCGACCCGGCTCCCGTGCAGTGCGCGGGGACTCTCGCGGGCCCACTGCAGGCCACACGTGGGTGCGGTGACAGGAGCAAATCCAAGCACCCGTGGTTCCCCCGCGCAGAGCTCCCCGGGCGGCTGCTGGATGCTGCGAAGCACTTCGTGTTGACCCGAGCGCCTCCGGACACGGAGAGGACACGGAGCGCGCGCAGCCACGCTGTTCTCCTCTCACGGAACACTGGGGCACTTGTGTGTCCGTGAGTGACCCTCAAACGCGGTCGGCTGCCGGGAGACCAGCTCGGCGCGGCCGCTTCGCCACGCGAACCCCCCGCGTTCGCTGCCGCGGATGCCACCACGGGCGTCGCGGCTGCCCGGCCGCCCGAGTGTCAGGCTGCATTTCTAGGTGGCGGAAGTCCTTTGACGCATGCCACCAGGTATCTTTCCAGAAAGATCCCAAGTTTCCCCACCAGTTCCGTAAGCGTGTGCCCACCTCACCCCACACTCGGCAGCTCCAAGTATAAGAGCTTTGGAAATCCCTTCCAGGGCGCCTGGGGGACCCAGTCGGTTAAGCGTCTGCCTTCGGCTCAGGTCAGGATTCCGGGGTTCCGGGATCAAGGCCCGCATCGGGCTCCCTGCTCCACGAAGAGCCTGATCTCCCCTCTGCCCTCACCCCGCTTGTGCTCTCTCCCAAATAAATATTAAAAAAAAAAAAATTCTCCCTCCCTCTCTGCCCCCGCCCCCACAGACGTGTATGCTCACGCGCACGTGCTCTTTCTCAACACGAAAAAGCTAAAAATGAATTAGAAAAACGTAAGAATGCCGTTACCTTTCAGCGCGCTGTCATTGGTACCAAAGAAGATCGTAACTGCTGCTGGGCTGTCCGGACTGTTGCCTTTCGTGATTAATCTTGGAAGAATGATTTTGGCCCACCGGGTATTATAACCTGAAAATCCGCGATTCAGAACATCACATTTTCTGAAATGAAGAATTTAAAAAATGAATTGTGGGCAAAGAACAGTTTCTAGTCCCTCTGCAGCGAGCCCCCAGCATGCAGCCTCCAGGCCGTGGCGCCTGATGTCACGTGGCTCTGAGCGGCTTTCACTTTTTAGAACTTTTAAGTCCCCTCTACACCCAGCGCAGGCTCAAACTCATGACCCCGAGATCAAGAGTTGCAGGTTCTCCGGACTGAGCCGGCCGGGCCCCCCGCCGCGCCTTCCCTCTGGGAAGAGCAGTCATGTCGTTGAACGTGGCGTCCTTAAGTCTTTCCAAGATCTAGGTTGTCTTTCCTTGACGAGAGGGGTGATGAGTAACAGCAAAGGGGCCAAGCATCTTGTCTGCTGACTCGTGTGGGGGGTGGGGAGGGAGGTCCTGTCACCGGGAGGTCACAGCAGACCGGTGTCAATCCGAGCAAGCCTGCAGAAAGTTACAAGCTGGGGCTCGAGGCTAACAGTGGTTATTTGGGGACATAATATATAGATGATTTGTGGGACTTTTTTACGGACTGTTTTTTGAGAGGCATTTTAGGGGTGCAGCAAATGCAAAGGAACAGAGTTCCTGCACACTCCTGCCCCCCATATGCACAGCCCCCTCCCCCGGGTGGCACAGTTGTTGAAAGTGATAGACCTACACGGACACATCATCATCAGTGTCCCCCCACCCCCGCCCAACCCGTGGTCTTGAGTCAATAATTTTAATATATATACTTATATGTACATGTCTGTAGTGTTTGTTTTGCTTCCTTAAAGATACGTGGTTTGATTCGCAGTACTGTACGGTACAAAGGAGAGACCATGGATCTTGAGCTAGTCGCCTGGGTTCGTGTCCCTGTTCCTTTACTTAGTGGCCAGGAACCCGGGTATGTTTGTAGACACTTAAAGTTGTCCACAATGAAAATTAAAAAACCCTCGGAGTATAGGTTACAGTCAGCAAACTGACGTGGTTTACTCTGGTGCGTAGTTCCAATTCCTGCATCTCAGCAGGAACACAGGGCCACAAGGCCGGAAGCAGATGCTGAGACAACAGGAGGGGACTTGGTTTGCCACTTCTCGAAAAGCTCTCAAACGTTATATACATCTTGGGGACAAAATAACAAAATTCAGCCGTATTTATTTCTAAGTGTGAGTCTTGGTGTTTTTCATGCATAATGATTACAAAAAGCTGACAAGCCATTTTAAAGACTCAGTTAATTTAAAACGGAATATTCCTGGGGCACCTGGGTGGCTCAGTTAATCATCCAACTCTTGATCTCAGGGTCATGGGTTCAAGCCCGTACTGGGCCAAAAAAAAAAAAGAAAATTTTGACAAGATGAATCTGTTTCATATCCCTCCAAGGTTTAGTCACTGCAATGCTTAAAAAACCAGAAGGCAAAGCAGCTTCCTCCCTTCAGTCCTGGGTGATGTGGCAGGAAAAGCTGAAAGTCTAGAATCAGAGCGGCCAGGTCTGGACCTCCCTGCCCTGAACTAGCAGATCAGGCCTTGGCCATTTACCTCATTTCTCTGACCTTCAGGCTCCCCAGCTGCAAAAGAAGACCCTAATACCTAATCTGTTAGGCAGCGTGAAGATTAAAAGTAGCCAGACACACACAGGGAGCTCAATAAATGGCAGGCATTACATATTGAAAAAAAAAAATTATAAGGCTGTGAACCAGGAAAAAAAGTCCAAGTGGGTGAGGCCCAGACTTGACGCTGTTGAGGCTCCCTTCTGAAAGGGCAAGGCTACATGAATTTCTCTGGATTGAACAGTACCATCAGTAGTGCCCAACTTACTCCGAAGGCTATGGATACTGGCAAATTCAAGACTCTTAAATTCTCAGCTAATAACAAGCATCTAAGTTCAGATGCAGAGGGAAAGGGTGAGAACAAACTGGAAGATTCCTTACCAAACATCCAGCTCGAGGACACTGCCTTCCAGGCACAGCGTAGATTAAGCCATTTTATAACCCAAGCAGGGCCAATCTTTAAAAGTAAACAGCAAGGGCGCCTGAGTGGTTCAGTGGCTTAAGCCTCTGCCTTTGGCTCAGGTCATGATCTCAGGGTCCTGGGATGGAACCCCTCATCGGCCTCTCTGCTTAGCAGGAAGCCCGCTTTTCCCTCTCTCTGCCTGCCTCTCTCCCTACTTGTGATCTCTGTCAGTTAAATAAATAAAATCTTAAAAAAAAAAAAAAAAAAAAGCAAACAGCAGGAGCTTTAAAAAACTGAAAAAGCTGAGTTTATTCTAACTCCTCCAAATCCTTCAAGTATTTTTGGTTAAAGAAATACTGAGTTACGGCTAAAGAACCCAATGAAAATATATCAATAAATTTTAAAAGGATTTAAACAGATTTAAGAATTATTAGAATGCTTTTATAACGCTAAAACACAGAAGAGGTCCTTGTGGGACACGATGATGTATTTGAGTTACCGCTCTCCATGCAGGCAGCGCACGGAAGGGCACTCACAGTAGCGCCTTATTTAACTGTACAGCTTGGAAACTGGGTTACATTTAACACTGAATCAGTCCACCTGAAACTAACATAACACTGTATGTTAATTACACTTCAAAAAAACACCAAACCAGCCGTGAATCAGTTCAGGGCTGTGCAAGTGGCTGAAGCAGACACTGGAAATTCACCCCGAGGCGCCTGGGTGGCTCAGTGGGTGGAGTTTCTGACTCCTGGTTTCCACTCAGGTCGGGATCTTGGGGTTGTGAGATCCACCACCCCCCTCCTCCCTCCCCTGCACTCCGCACTCGGCGGGGAGTCTGCCTGTGCCACTCTCTGCCCCTCCCCCACCCACGCATTTTCTCTCTCCCACTCTGAAATCCTTAAAAAGAAAATTCACCCTAAGGGCTCGCACAGCTAAAGATGAAAACGCCTGCCTAAGGGCCAGTGGTTTGGGTGGACCAGAAATAACGCAGCTCTGACGCTAAAAAGGGACGGGGGAGTGGAATTGCCTGGCCTCTCGGCCCCGGTAGCCCCCCATGCCAGTCAGCACCAACCATAGCCCCTCCCCCACCGCCGGTTTCCCCGGTGGACCCAGTGAAAGTACAGGGGCCCCTACGCCTGGGTTCTGCTGCCCCACTGTAGCATTTTAGTTCCTAATAATCCAGTGAACGTGGCCGGGGTGTGCATGCCCAGCAGAGGCGGGCACTCCGGGGGGGGGGGGGTGGAGCCCAAAGGGGTAAGAGTTCACTGAGGTGCAGCCTCTCCGTGGGCTCAGCCAGCAGCCACTCTGCCCTGCGGGCCTCAACAGGATGCTTGTCAGGAGTCCGAGACGGGAGGCAACAGACCAGACCACACACGGTCTCCGACTGTCTTTTCTTGTAATTGCTCTCAATTCTGAAAAATGACTTCTAATTGAGTGGTCTTCTAGCAAGCATATGTGTAAACTATCAATTCTCACAGGATTTTAGTACTAAACTTATTCACTAGGAAACATTTGGTAAAAATTATGTGTTGGTAAAACATTTGAGATGCGGCTTTCCAGGCAAGGTTAATAGGCCAATTAAAGTTATGGGATTACTAAATGTAAAGGCTACTATTTAGTGAGCACTGCCAAGTCCCAGGTGCCCAAGCAAGCTCACATTAGCATTTCCAAGCCTCCCAATATGAAAGCAGGTGACCTTATCTCCGGAGGCTCAGGACCTCCGGCTCCGCACCACCTGCCACTTCTTAGCTGTGAGTGACCTTGTTAAAACCCCTCTGCACCTTATTCTTCTCATCTATAAAATCACAGGGTGGTTATAAAGATTAAATGAGTCAATGCACATGAAGCATTTTAGTTTCTGGCACCTGGTAAGCACTCAGTAAAACTTAGCAATTATAATTCTCCCATTTTACAGAAGGGAAAACTGAGTCATACTTCCATGTTTCTAGATTAAGTCCACTTAAATAGGGAAAGCATTTGGGAACAGAAAAAGTTGGAAGGTCAGTTTTTTCATTTCTTGTTTAGGGGATAAAAATGAAGGAAAAAGTGAAGACATTTTAAAACACATTTCACATCTGGAAATAAAATACATTTTCTTGGTATGTTAATTATACTGGTGAAGAAATTTTCAAATATTAGTAAACTGGTAGTACATCCTGCTTATTTCTTCTAAAAAAGAAGACAAAACTCCTGATCAGTGGCCCGATATTCTAAATCCTTGTGTTTAGTGTTTTAAATGTGGAAAATATTTCTAAGTATTTTTTAACCTCCTGAATTGGGGCAGTGTTCCCCTTTTGATGACTTCCTTAGCACATGCTTACATAAGTCTGGCAAAGAGAATGCCAAAATCATTACTATTTCTGACATATTTTATAAAGAGAATCTTGGGGGGACAAAAACCTCTACCCAAAAATGACTCTACCTTTGGTTTATGAATATGCTTTGCTTTCTTTCAGTCGAATTCCTTACTACTTGTTTAAATCATACCCCACCCACAGTAATAACTGGAAAAGAACTTGTCTTCTTCAGGTGGTGAATAACTGTGTTTGGCTCCAAAGCCAGTATCTTTTCTACAACTTTTAGGGTTTGATTTCATATCTGCAAAACTTCTGCTGAACCCCGAGCGCCTGCCCTTCCTCCTTCCCTTCCCCAACCCTGTATATACTAACCAGGAAAGGCCGGCAAAGATGAAGGAGGGATTTACTGTTCGAAACTCTATCATTCACTCTCTCTTCTGGGATGCAGTTACAGCTTTCCATCAATGAATACTCGAGTATCAATCTAGAAACTATTCTCACCTGACCAGCTTGTCAGCCAGTGACGCTCCCCATCCACCCTGCTGGAAAGAAAACTGAAAAAGGAAAAATCCATTACTACTCATCCATGTAATTGGCACATTTTAGAGAGGGATATTTTGGTCAGCAACTCCTTTTGTTTTCCTCTCCTCCTCCCAGACTTTCTGGCCATCCTTAGCGCCGCTCAGAGGCAGGCATTACAGCTAAAGTTCAGCGGCACTTTGGAAATTAGGCGGAGTTTTCTTCCCTATCCACTGGATTTGAGCCAGTCGTCTGCATTTTATTGAGAACTAATATTGGTCATTTTTACCTAGAAAAGCTACTTAAAATTATGTATGAGAGAAAAAAATCGATTGTATGTTCGGTTAAGAAAGAAGGTCCAGGCTGAACTGCATTTCCGTAATTGAAAAGAATAAGGAAGTTAATCACAGAACTCGGGGTGAACGTTTTTTAAACATACATTCTTATAAATCTGGAGAACCCTTATTGCTCTATTTGCCTAAAAATTGGTACATACACAGAAAAGTGGTTGAGGAAGTCATGTTTGAAGAGACAAGAAAAAAAAAAGCCGCCGCGGGAGTAATTTTTGAAAGCGTACTTCCTCCCCCAAGTAAAACATGTATTTTTCTTTAATGGGATTGGGTGAAAATGGGATCTGCTACGTTATTCCTGGAGACGCTTGTTCCACCAGAGGAAGCAGAGGCGAAACTGGTTGCAAGTGTCTTCTGCGTGGAACGGGCTGCACGAAACCTCAGCAGGTGACACAGGCGCCACCGCGCTCCCGCAGGGGACCCCTTTGGAACCTGCGCGCGGGACACAAAGCACGGTCCGGAAAAGACAGACTCTAAGGTGAGAACAAGGCGCCCCTCCTCGGACCGGGTCCCTGATTACCCCGAAACCTGACGCAAAGCAGCGAACTCAGGCTTTGACACTCCGAGGCGCGGCCGGGGCGAGTCCCCGCACCTCCCCCCGCCCGTAAAACAGGCTCGACGGAACGGCAGTGCAAGTCCCGCGCCACCCACACCGGTATCTCGAAGGCGGGGGAAACTAGAAAGGGGACCGCTGCCGGGGGGTCCGAGGGCGCGCTGGAGGCGGCAGCTGCAGGAGGCTGCAGCCATCCCCGGGCAGATCCCGGCCCGGGGGCGCTCAGCCTTCCGGACAGCCCGTGCGGGGGAAGCGGGGTGCAGGGAGGCGGCCTCGCTAACCGCGGGGCAGACGGAAGGACGGGGGCCCGGTGCGGAGCTGCCCGGCCCGCCGCTCTCAGCGGGGCAGGGCGCGGCCGTGGGCGCCCGGGTGACCCGCCACGTGAGGACCGAGCGGCGGTACCTGGGTGATGGAGTCTCCGAAGAGCAACACCCGCGGCCAAGCCAGAGAAGCCGCGCCGTTCGCAGCCTCGCACAGCGCCATATTGCCGCCAGCCGAGAGGCGGGGCCGGGCCGGATATCCGGGGCGGGGCGAGCGGCCGGGGGCGGGGCCGCCCGCGGAGCCTGGGGTCGGCTCGGTGGCCGTCGCGTCGCCCGCGGGATGACTACCCGCCGCGCTCCCGGGGCTGCGCGGGCTGAACCCCTTTGGCGACCAGCCGTGCGCTAGCCGTTGCCCCTTGGAACGCTCGTTTTTGTCCGTTTCCAAGTCGGACTCGCTGCTCGTCGTTCGTCCTGTCAGGTGCGGGGGGGCCCGAAGCGGGAGTGGTCTGGCGCCGCCCCCCACGCGGGGCCGGAGGTTTCCGTCAAGGGCCCGCGTGTGGAGACCGTGGGGAAGTGCTTCCGAGGGGCGCGGTCACCGCACGGCCCCTCTCGTTCAGTAAACGGACTCAAGCATTTATCGAGGTTTTGACCTTAAAGAACAGCTTGAGACGTCTGCAGAAGGCGGACTGTTCAAGGACGAAGATGGGGTTTGCAGGAGCGGGGAGAAATGAGGGAACGTGGGGGACCCACAGCCGACGAGCAGGGTGAAGGGTAGAAGCATCTACGGTCACTAGGAACCGGGTTCTTGCTGAAGGCGGGCCGGGGTAAGATGGGGGGGCATTTGAGCAGGTACCCGGCAGGACGCCAGAGGGGCCAAGGCCAGAGCCTTGGGGCGGGTGGGGTGGGGGGCGGTTACTTCGAAGACCCCCAGGAGCTCCAGGGCTCAAGTTTCCTCAGAGTCCTTGTCGCCCCAGCTGTGCCCCGCAGTATGATGGCCGTCGCTAAAAAACGAGCCAGAAGGATGTTCTGAAACCCCTGCGCACGGAAAACCCGGCGGGCACGCGCAGCGGCGCACCGCAGACCTACCGCGCCGCGGCTGGGGCGTCGGGGGGCGCCTGGCGGGAGGGCTGGAGCCAGAAGGCAGGAGGCGCGACGCAGAGCCTCAAGCCTCCGCGCCAGCAGCTCCCCATCTTCAACTAGAATCGTGGGGAGCTTCAGATGTGCTCGGAAAGGATCCTCACTCCGGACCAACGAACTTGACGTCTGATGCCGCGATGTGGGCCTCGGTCTGTTTTTCCTGCCCGCAGGGGACTCCCGCATGTAGCCAAGGTTGAGACCAGCCGGCTTGGCTAAGGCGTTTGGACTCGACCCTAATTACAGCGAAGCTCTGACGGGCCTTCAGCAGGGAGGGCTTGGGAGCGGGCGCGTGTGTTCCCGGAGTGAACCAGAGGAGCGGGCGCTGTGGCAGGCACCGGAGGGGCCAGGCTGACTGGGACTCGGAGCCACCGTGAGGAGACCAGGGGAGACCTGAGCAGTTTAGAATCCTTAAATCGGTCACCTCAGGGAGAGGGACTAGGGGAAAAGGCACATTCCCTTTTTACTGTACATATTCTGTCGTATTAAGATAGTTTTTTTGTTTTTTAAATTAAAAATGTTTTAAATCTCTCAAAACAGGGGCGCTGGGGAGGCTCTGTCGGTTGAGTGCCTGACTGGCTTTCGGCTCAGGTTGTAAGGTCGAGCCCCGCTTTGGGCTCCGTGGTGGGGAGCAGTCTGCTTGGGATTCTCTCCCTCTCCCGCTGGTTCTCGTGCTTTCTCTAAAGTAAAATCTTTTTAAAAAGTCTATCATAACAAAATCTTAGGTGACACAAAAGGTGACCCTTAGAGCTTTGGTTTGGGCCAGAGACAAAAGTAGGGTCTCTTACAAAAATAAATAATTCATTTCAAGTAAAACTTCAGATTTGTGCACTCAAGCTTGTCACAGCCATGCAGAGAAGGAGCGCTTGGTGGCTGCCAGTCACCAAGAGGTGAGGCAAGGAGAGACTAACAGGGTCAGTGGAATTTAGAGACTGTGGTTGGCGAACGCCTTCAGCTTGATGGTGAGTGTGACCGACTCTCGAGGTGGGCGTGAAGGTGAGGGCGAGCTTCTCGTGCTCGCTCCCCCACATGGGGCAGTCGGACCTGTGCGTGGAAGCGAACCCCAAGGAACACCCCGGCTGACCTGCTCCCGCAGCACACCGCCCCCCCACGCTCCTGTGTCCAGTTATCACAAGTCTGAATTACAGGCGCTTCGGGAAACTGGCCTAGTGATTTAGTTTATACACAGAGCAATTCAACAACTCACAGCTGAATCCCCTGGAGCTTGAGGCATAAAAATAATAGCCCAAGTATTTCTGAATGGCGTGTGTAGATACTACACAAAGTATCACTGAATCCCAAAATCATAATTTTACAAATTAATTTAAAAATTAAGGAATTTGCCAAGAGTATCAGGAGGGAAGAAACAGAAAAGGCACTTGAGGTGCTAATCTCTATTCCCGTTCAGAATATGAAACAAAATAAAAAACCATCATGCCTTTTCTTAAAAAGGACACCGAGACCTTCTCATCCGGTTGCTACAAGCAGATCTGGAAGGTTTCACTGGCAGCAGCACACGTGCCTAGAAGCAGAATCAAATTCTAAAATAATAGTTTATTCGGTAGTTCTGGAATAACGGACACATGAGTTGCTAATTGAGTAGCACTCCAGCTGCTGGAATTGAGGCCGTTTGAGATCACAGGTAACTAGGCTACTCCCAAGAAACTAATGTATTTTAAGTAACAGAAGTTGAGTCAAGCGTAAGAAAAAGCGTTCTCAGATCCGGAGACGTCCCGTCGTCAGTGAACGGGGGTGAGGGCCTCGTACAGCCTCTGCGCGGCCAGCTCCACCATTTCCCGCAGGGACTCGTCGTCCTCGCTTCCTTCTTCGCATTCCACCGTCTGAAAGCGAAAGCACAAACAGGCCTTTCGCCCTAAGTGTCTACCAGTGCTACGTGGAAGACAGGCTGATCCTCTTCAAGAATTATCTCCCCACAGGGTGGGGGGTCACAGAAGCCTGACCCCGGGGGAACCCAAGCTGCGGCCCTCGGGCCTGCAGGCCTGCGCCACACACATATCCCCGACAGCCCCATCACTGGATCTAATTAGAGACTCACTTTGGGAAAAGGAATAAATGGAAAATCTAGTGAACTATATTTACTTCAAAGCCCATATTCTGACCCAATAAATCACACTACTAGGAACTCAGTCTGTTCCTAGGAATACTTAGCAAGCGATGGGTGTCCTCGGGTACTCAACATTTGCTATTAAATCTGATTTAGACCAATAATCTAGTTATTTCCCAGCTACAAAACACTATATGCTGTTTAAAAATTTTTTTTTATCATACTGTAAATACTGCTCATATAACATCTTAGTAAGGGAAGAAAAAATAACACCCTTAATTCTAGAACCTACTAACTCTTGTGAACATGTCCATGTATAACCTTCTAGACTTTGAGCTACACATATGTATTTCTTTAAAACCAAAATAGGGCAATTTATCATACTTGCGATCTTCTAACTTTTCTTGGCCCTCACCAATGCCGGGGGACAACTGTGCCCGTCAGTGATGCACACTGCCGCCTTCCCAACCGACAGCTGGCTGTATGGGCCTCTGTCGAGGTGTACAACATACACATAATCTGTTTATTCAGTGAATTAATTACTGTCTCACACTCTTGCACAATCTGGTCTCTTGCAGTTTTGTCGATATTCTAATCAATGCTAGAGTAGAAATCCATGTACATATATCTTTGCTCCAATTATTTTATCATTAACTTGTCTATTTTCTTTGAT